TCCATTTTTAAAGATGTTTATTTTTATTTGTGTGTATATGTGTTTGTGTCTGGGAGTTGGTGGACATATGAGTACAACTGTCCACAGATGCCACAAGAGGGCCTTCAATCACCCAGAGTTGGAGTTACAGGTGGTTGTGAGTCACTGGAAGTGGGTGCTGGAAACCAAACTCAGGTTCTCACAAGAGCAGAAAGTGCTCTTTAGCTACTAAAGGATCTCTCCAGCCTTATGAGCACAATCTGTTGGGATAAAGTTGTAGGTCTTAATATTTATGGCAAATACTTATAACACTGTACGTGTGTGTGTGTGTGAGTGTGTGTGTGTAAATTGTGGGAGTGGCTAAAGAATAGTCTTCTCACAAATGTGAAACAAGCATTCTTCCCATGAACTACATTCTCAGGTCCTCGTTTTGGCATAAAATTAATTATTATTTAGGTGTATATGCACACGAGTGTGCATGCCTATGGAGACTAGAAGATAAAGAGTCACAACTCCTGGAGTTACAGGCATTGGTTGTAAGCCACCTGATGTGGGTGCTCACAATTGAACTCTATTTGGGCCCTCAGCGAGGGCTCTTAAATATTGAGCCATCTCCCTAGCTCCACCCCACCCCCACCACCAATTTAAATTCTTGAAATGCATGCAGGCATGTTGATGATGTTAGGACTATCATCCCAGCATTCAGGAGACTGAGGCTGAGGGTCAGAAATCTAAGGTCATCCTGAGCCACAACTTAAGGAATTTATCATCTAGGTACACACGTGTGCACCAAGTCTTTAAAGCGACGAAACTGGGGGTGCTCTCCTAGAGCTGTGTATGGAGGTCTGCCGACTGATCTCTGAAGCTCTTCAATACTTGAAGTCAAAATGAGTTTGAAAAAGGGTGGCCAAGGCACGCACAAAAAACATAGCTCCTGGGCTGGAGAGATGGCTCAGCGGTTAAGAGCACTGACTGCTCTTCCAGAGGTCCTGAGTTCAGTTCCCAGCAACCACATGGTGGCTCACAGCCATCTATAATGAGATCTGGTGCCCTCTTCTGGCATGCAGGCACACATGGAAGGAATGTTGTATACATAATAAGTAAATAAATAAGTCTTTAAAAAAAAAAAAAACATAGCTCCTACCTCAACATTGTCCTAGAGTCAAGGTGAGTGACTATGGCTTGGGAGCATGGATATAGGTTGTCCCAAATTCCCTGTGTGTAAGTACTTCTATAGTTACAAGTTTTTATGGTAAGAGAACAAAGTTAAAGATCAAAGCATCTTAAAAATACATTGGTGGAGACATCAGAGGGCTGTTACAGCCAGGAATCTCAGCTCTAGGCCTCAGTTGCTGTCTTAGCCCTTGGAATGGTAGAGAACAGGGTTAGCACATTCCTATTTGGTGTCTGTTTTTTGAAATCTCTGTGCTGGTTCATTGTTTCTTGTTTCATTTGTCAATCTGACAAGCTGGAGTCATCTGGGAAAAGAGAACCCAATTGAAAAATTGCTTCCTTCAGACTGACTGGGCTGTAGGGAAATCTGGGGGACATTTAATTCATGACTGATATGGGAGGGGACCCAGCTCACTGTGGGTGATTCCACCCCTGGGCAGGTGGTCCTGGGACTCTGCTCTAAGTTCCCGCCCTCGCTGTATCTTCCTCTAGAGGATGCTTTTAGTTGTAGTGCTCTATCACAGCAATAGAAGCCAAACAAGACATTTGCTGTCAGGATGTTTGATTTGGCACAGAGGTGGGTAAGGAAGAGCTCTTTAGGGAGCTGAAGAAAGTCCAAGAGAAACTAACTAGGCTGTGGACCTGCAGCATTCCAAACTTTCCACAGTCGTTGAAGTGTTAATCAGACAGCCTTGACAGACACAGCTTCTTCCAGGACTTCTCCTTCACATCGGGGAAGTAGGAGAGCAGACTGGTCCATCCTGAGCACCAACTGAAGAAAGGGTGCCACGGAGAGAGTCACTGAGCATGTCAAATACTGTAGATAAACCGAGTAAGAGGAGGCCTGAGAACAGACCGCTAAGCGTGGCCACATGGAAACCGCTCCTTGGTGTTCTGCACAAGGACTGTTTCAGTGGAGTAGGTGATCCATGCTGGGTGTGCAAGGAGATGGGAGGGAAGGTGAAAACACTACGGAAGAGAAGTGATCCCAGGGAATTACTCACCCGCTGCTGACAGAGGCCATCTTCTGGGCCAAACTGCTGCCAGCTTCAGGCCTTCAGCTGGGCCTGCTTGCAGGACAAGACTCACACTAAGCTTGGTGACTCTTCACCTTCTTTCATAGAGAGAAGTTTGTTACAGATTTCTAGGTAGGGGAGAGGGAGAGCCATGCCATTTGAGTTAAGCATGGAAGTCGGCCATGATGTGAGCTGCATGGCCAACAGGAGGGGAACTTGAGAAACAGAGTAAGGAAGGCGGAGTGCTAGGGTCAGTGTGTTGCAGCTCTGGCCAGCACCTGGAAGACAAGGGCAGAAGGACAGTGAAAGGAAGTCCCACCTGGGTCAGACTCAGGCCTCAGAAAGGAGGCTGTGCTGGCCAGTTCTTATGTCATCTTCCCATAGGCTAAAATCGTTATGGAAGAGGAAGCCTAACTGAGAAAATTCCACCAGACTGGCCAGGCGGGAAGCCTGTAGTGCATTTTCTTGGTTAATGACTGATGTGGCAGATGTTGCCCACTGTGGGTGAGTCCTCCAAGAAAGCAGACTGAGCAAGCCATGAGGAGCAAGTCAGTAATCAACACCCCTCCATGGCCTCTGCATCAGCTCCTGCCTCCAGGTTCCTGTCTCATTTGAGTCTCTGCCCAGACTTCTGAAATGGGTGAGAGAAATGACCCTTTCGTCCCCAAGTTACCTTTGGTCTGGTGTTTCATGACAGCAACAGAAACCTTAACACACACACAGTGTAGCCTAAACAGAACCTGGTTCCTGAGGACTGCACTTGGGGCCTTATGTTTTAAGAAATTCATAGACCAATGGGATAACAGAGAACCTTGGTGCTAAAAACAATTAAAAGGACTGTATCTTTTTATTAAAAATAAATTTTATTCTTGAGAATTTCATACATATCTGCAATGAAATATAGCCACCCAAATTTCGCCCTCCAACAAGCCTCCCTCACAACTTCCCTTCTTCTATTGTGATTGTGTGTGTGTGTGTGTGCATGTGCTAACCCACTAGGTCCAATTAGTGCTGTCTGTATGCATGGGTGTGGGGCCTTCCACTGGAGCATGAGAAATCTACCAGCGGGAACACCCTCAAAAAGAATGGTCCTCCCTTCCCCCAGCAGTGATCAACTGCTAATAGCACCAGAGTAAGGGTGAGGCCGGAAGAGTAACTCCCCATCTATGCGAGAACCTTGCTGGCTTGATCTTGTACAATCTTAGCTGCTGTGTGTTCATGGTTACCATGTCATAGTACTGGATCTTTCAGTAAAGGGAAACGGTACCTAGCATACGAGAGACTAGAAAATGTTAACGTGTATAACTGTGAACCAGGAACTAAGTTAACTAATACTTAGTAACTCTGGTGACAGCCCTAAAGGCACAGTTTCCTTTACAGATAAACACATTGGTGAGTGGTTGTAGAGTGTGGGAGTCAAGGCTCCACGCAGAACCAAACTCTAGAGCCCTTGTGTTTTTGTTTACACATTTCTGTGTTGTGTGCATTCATGCCATGGTGAATTTGTGGAGGTCAGAGAACAACTTCACAGAGTTGGTTCTCAATTTCCATCTTTTTCTGAGTTGGGGACTAAACTCAGGTTTACAGGTTTATGAGACAATAAGTCATAGTGGTGGTTTTTTTTTTTTTGGAGAGACAAATTTATAATTATATGCAAGTGTGCATGTGTATATGCATACACATGGAGGTGCCCACAGAGGCCAGAAGAGGGTGTTAAATCCCACTGAGTGGGACTCACTGGCAGTTGAGCTGCCAGATATGGACACTGGGAACCAAACTGAGGCCCTCTGCAAAGTAGCAGGCATCTCAACTGCTAAGCGATCATTCCAGCTGCCTTTGCATGTTGGCTATTATACCTTTTTAGTTCTGTTTAAGATTATTATGCCAAATGTTAACATTCTCTGACTTTATGTGTACAGGTGTGGTATTTGTACATCTCTGTGTGCGTTTATACATGCACGTGCACCCATGTCTCTATATGGAGGACAGAGGTTGACTTCGTGTGTCTGTTTTGTTTGCTCTGCACTTTGATTCCTTAGTCAGGTTCTCCACTGAACCTAGAGCTATCTCTCCAGGGCTGGGAATATATATATTTCACACCTGGCTTTTTCTAGAGTGGTAGGATCAACTCGGTTCTTCATCCTCTGGCTTGCCTTGAGATCACAGAGATCCAACGTGCTTCTGCCTCCCCTGTGCTGGGATTAAAGGCATGTACCACCATGTTCTACTAAGGCAGTCTGAAGTTGTTCTTTACATGCTATATTCATGATCCTTGTACCACCTATATTACTAATTTGTTTTTCTTTGATTCACCCGTTCCCACGATCTGGTTAGTGAACACATTATTTTTCAAGATATTGAACTGAAACCAGGGAATTGGTCATTTTTGAGTGAACACTCTTATCATAAGCTACATGCTGAGTCCCTCACACACGAACCTTAGGGCTATCTGCATATCTCATGGAAATCCCTGAGATCTACCAATAGCTAGCTATGCTTGGCACACTCTGATACAAACACCAGTTCATACAAGTCAAAGCAACTAGAAGAGTAGAGAGATGGCCTGAGTGAGGAGCTGGAGGAGATGCTGGTTTTCTCTGAGAGCCTCCCTGTGTATTACCTACATATATAATCAATATGAACAACTAAAGAGAAACCTACTGAGTATTCTGCCTGGGGAAAAGATAGGTTCAAAATAACCACTCAAAAGGTGCCTTCCTCTGCTTCCCATCACCTCCCTAATGGTCTCTAGTCTCAGTCACTTCCCCACACTGCAGATACATTCAGGCCAACACAAAGTCTGAGGAAGAAAGAAGGCAACCCACTACAAAATGAAAACTTTCAATGTTTTATTTTTGACTGAAGCTGTTTACAGAAATATAATTGCGAGTATACAAATGTCCCAATAGAAGCAAAATATCTTTTTAATATTTAACAAGTTATCACAGATAGCTAAAAACATAGATGCAAATGAAATTCCCCCAGAGAACAAACTGAGAATATCTGGTGTCAGTGCTCTGAAATTCCAACTATGAAGCCATTACACAAATGTCACTCTTACACATCATTGCAGGACAATGCAAGAAGGCAAGTCAGTGGTTGATCAGTGTGCTCAAGCAGATAAAATTAAACTCAAAATGGCAGAATGACAGCTAAATCACTTGAGAACAAGTTAATGAAATATTCCAAGTTACTCATGAAAACACAAAGTAAAAAGAAGAGCGTGAAACTCAGTCAAGTCGCCAGGAAAGCAGCAAGCACTTGGAGCTTATCCTTGAAAAGAACTAGATGAGCAGGTAGAGTTGATAGATAGAAGGAGTTAGTTCAATTGCACTGCAGAAGGTCTCTACTGAGTAAAATCATGATCACCTCTGTACAGGACAGCTCCTTTTTCTTTCTCTAGTCTCTCTTTTTGCACTAGGGATTGCATCCACCTTAGGTTATAACTACCTAACTCCAGCCAGGACAGGCTTTTATTGGTCACAGAAGTTTGATTCTAAACACACTCTCAAGCATCTGGGATTATGTGTGAGTGTAAGCTGTCCTGAGGCTCATGAGCTAAAATGGCAGCTAACAGGCCACCCCTACAAATCACACGTATTCCTCCTGGGATGGGCTCTGGTGGGGGAGATCAGTGTGAAAGAGCAGGTAGGGTGACATGGTTGAATGCAGGATGTTTAAGGAGGTATTACAAACGAGGGCTGAATAGACCAGCAACAGGTGACATAATCAGGAGGGGAAGGGAGGGCATCTCTAGAACATCTCAGCAGTTTGCCTACTTACTTTCCAGCACCAGTTTGTAGAGGAAGCCACTTAGCACTGCTGTGTGGGACAGAGCAATGATCCTCAGAAAGCAAGTATTCACTAGTTTATTCTGAAAAGGGAATCCTCTTGCATGAGCTAACTCACCAGTGACTTGTAAACAGTGGAAGGAAGATTAATGATGGAAGTGCTGAATTATAAAGGAAAATATGAATAAGCCTGCTTATTTGTAGAATGCACGTAACTGAGATGGAAGAAACACCCAAGTTATAAAATGCACTATCTTAGCATTCTGTGAAGTACTTCACCTGAAGCATGAGTACCAAAGAGAACCATTACTCTACTACAGGATTCAAATGTCAAATAAGCTACTTGAAAGGAATCTTTATCAACTCGTAAAAGATTAAACGAGGTGCTGTGTGGGCCTGGCCAGCCATCTGATTTACTATCTCAGATACAAGACAAATGATACGGAATGGTGATTCTGTTCTGAGAGCTAGTCTAGCCAAAGCAGAACCATAGTCTGCTGATAAAGAGGCAATGAAAAGAGAGCTTATATTACCCTGCCCACTATGTACCCATTTTATGCATAAAACAGGAGACTGTAGCACCCATCAATTATTTTAGCTAAGTAAATGTCATAACAACTAAAGAAATACAAACCATTGCACCTAAATATTGAAATCAGTTAATGTAAACTTTTTAGTCAGTGGTAGAAAAATGCCAAACCAAGTTAAATGAATTATCAGTAACTACACTATACATACATAAAACATATGCATTTTCTTAGGCAGTACTAAGAATAAATTACCATTGCTGATAAAAGATCACAGAATACCAGGTGAGGCGGAATATAAATAAGGAAGAAAGAATCTCACTTTTGCTAGGCTCTGAAGCTCAGGAGCATCAGACTCAACTGAGAACTTGGGTCAGACAGACTGTTGGGCCCCATTTCAGATCTAACTCAGCAAGACTGGGCTATTGCCCAAGATGATGCACCTCTAGCTGGCTTCCTGCTCACTGATGCTAGCTGCTGGATGGAGGGCCATACTGGTTTACATACACCGCACAGACATAAACTATACATTGCAGCGTTCTTATAGAAAAGACATACACAAGAAGGGGAATGGCTCTAAGTAGCTCTCAACATACTCAACAGCTATAGTCAAAGGTTTACTATGGTTTGGTAGAGTGGAGTCATTTCCCTGCACTACCTGTCAGTCTTAAACGTCCTTTAGAAAACAGCCATTCCACACTTGCTCCAGGTTACTTTAAAAAGCTGTCATCTAACACATCAAGCCAGCTATCTAAAATAAGAACGGGTGCAGTGCTCTGAAGAGTTAAGATGGCTTTCTTTGGAATGGTTAAAGTGCACGATAGGGTATTAAGAATATTGCATAAAAGTTTGCCGCCTGCAGTCTTCAGTCCACCAGCAATCACAAGAACACTTCCATGGGGAACACATTCCAAAGCTTAAGTTATAGCTGTCCTTAATTTGTAGTTGATGGCCCTTTCTTCAAGTGCCACCACTTGGTAAGGTGCTAGATCAGAAAGAGAATGGACAAAAACCAGGTCACTCAGTCCAACTGTATGTGGCACTAAAGAAATTACCTTAGCTCTCCCAGGACTCAATGATTTCTTCCTAATTTTTCCTGACACTAAGTTTTCCAAGGTCAATTAACTAGAGTCCTGATAGAAAAAAAATATAATAAACTACTTTTCCATGTTTAATTAGAGAGAAAAAAAAATCAACATTATTCCCAGGTCTTACAAAACCTATGTTTTAGTCACTCTTCATGCCGTTAATTAGGACCAGAGAAGATGATAAGTAGTGCCTTTATATTATTTAACACACACACTTGTGTGCATGGAATCTCTCTCTCTCTCTCTCTCTCTCTCTTTCTCTCTCTTTTCTCTCTCTCTCTCTCTCTCTCTCTCTCTCTCTCTCTCTCACACACACACACACACACACACATACACAAATTTTCTTTATTGTTCAGGTAAGAGCCAGATACTACTTTGCTGGGATGAGAAAATTGGAGTTAATTCATGTAAGCCACAACAGCATTGGGACCTGTTGAAATCAGTTATTCGTATATTCTTGGCAACAGTGGAAGGTGGGATTACAGGAAGGGTGCACTGGCATGGTAAAAAGGCACTTTTCCATAAACATTTAATCTATATATAAAATACTAATGTAAAAATTGTCTGAAAGAGCAAGAGCAATAAAAACAGAATTTTATTAATATACAAGGCTTAGGATGGCATGAAAACAGAGAGCTAAAAAGTAATTAGGGCGCTGGGACAATTGACCAATGATACTATAGAGTCAGTCTCCTGCATAATGAATGCCACCGTCACAGCTAAGCACTAGTGACAAATGTAGGCAGAAGGGAAAAGCTCTCAAAATGTAATGGCTGAGTCATCCTCTTGCTAGTGTGTACACCCATGTTCGCTTCTCTCCCTTTCGGTGGTGCTGGGCATCAAATTCAGGTCCCTGCACATGGTAGGCAGACTCTCTACCCCGGAGCCACACCCCCAGGTCTGAGCTACTTCTCTAATACATCTGCTGAATTACAGTTTTTCTTTTTCATTGAGCCCCTCCACATACCCAAAAGCACGCAGATACATCTCCTTAGAGATGGAGCTACGCTGTGATGCAGAGTAAAACAACAAGGTCTCCCCATAACTTTTAACTAGTTCCAACCAGCTGAAAATCGAAACACAGGGATAAAAGAAAATTTTACTAGGAAAATTCTCAGCTAGCCCCTGAGAATATGTACAACTATGCTGAATTTAAGAAGTACTCAGTCATTTTATTGTGGTTCTTATTTGCTGACAGATTCCATTTTCCCCAAACAAACATTTACAATGGCTTAAAAAGGTTAAAGGGGCTCAGGTAAGGTGTTTCATACCTCCAGGCCCACTACTTGGGCAGCATAGTGCAACCTCATTTAAAAATCAAAAACAAACATTCAAAAAGGTCGAAAGAGATTATTTTCATTCTGAAGGGACATATGTACAATTTCTTCCTTCTGTTTTTTTTTTCTTTAAACACTTGTTCTAAGGAGATGGGATAGACAGACCTATATTGGCTAAATAACAAATAACATGTTAGAATCAGAAAAGCCTACAGAAAATCTTAGAAACTAATTATCTAAGTCGAGCAGTGGTAGTGCACACACATTTAATCCCAGCACTCAGGAGGCAGACGCAGGCAGATCTCTGTAGTTCGAGATCAGCCTGGTCTACAGAGTGAGTTCCAGGACAGCCAGGGCTACACAGAGAAACCCTGCCTTGAAAACAACAAACAAGAAAATATCTAATTGTCTTTTTCCCTCGTGTGGAATAACAAGGACACAAAAGCATTGGGGGGGGGGGGGGGGGAGATAAGCTCCAAGCATTTCTGTGAGTTGCTGAAAGCAAGAACTGAATGTAACAAAGGAATAAAATGTAGTTCACAGTTTATTTAGGTCCTTCTGCCAGATAAAAGTTTAATATATCCTGATTCCCAAGGTCTTTGCTGGCTCACTGAGTCTTCCCACAGGTAGCTATAAGTAACAGGAACTGAGAAGCTGAATTCTTAGCACAAGTATCAACCACTGAGCTAACTCTTCAATAAGAAGACACATACTTTTTGTAACCAAATCATATATTCAGAACATTGTACTTAACACACACCTTTAGGGGCAAGGAACATTTAACAATGTAAGAAAACAAATAAACCATCATTATTGAACAGGAATATGGTAGCACAGCACAGCCCTTGTATAAATAACCACAGAAGTGAAGAGACTAAAAATGGGGTTTCTGCCTCCATCCACACAAACCACTACAGTTCAGGTGATGTTCTGTTCTACACTCTGACAGTATAAGACAGAAATTGGTCCCAGTGACTCGGCATTGCCAATCAGCACTGTATAAGGATAAGCTTCTAGTACAGAACAAACAGAAGTCACCACACAAGCCAGACCTCTTGCTGCCACTTCACTGCCAATGCAGTCGCAACAAACATTCTGATTTCACCTTGGAATAAACAAATTTCCTGAGTCTCCTCATGATCTCAGAAAGTAATCCAGAAAACTCAGAAGTCAATGTGGTTTTAAACTCTGACTTCTGTCTTTCCTAAGCAGATTCACAGGTCTGCTTCCACTGATGTTCCAGATAGCACACTAGAGTCCCCTGTGTGTTTTTTCAAGCTGAAGCACTGAATTGTGTGGCTGACCTTTCTCAGAACCTGAACCATGTTGGGTGATTTTTCCCTGTAGGGCATGGGGGAGAAGGGAGATACTGAGGAAAATACTTTTGGTTTAGAGAATCTATAAAGTAGTTCTGGCTATTAAAAGATGGAAAATGTTATTAAAATTACAAACATGGTATTTTTAGTGTCTTTATAAATAAAAGGCATAGGATACAGAAAGCCAATTAATAAGAACAACAATAATAAAATATTAAATATATAGTGAACAAAGACAGAGTGGCTCATTCTCGTCAAACACCATTTGACACACTGCCTCAATAAGTTTCCTTGCTCTTTAACACCTTGCTGAGTGAAGACACAGCAAACACACAGTAGTTGCCTTTCGCTCACTAGTAACATCAAGGAACTGCCTGATGGAATGGCTACAGATAAACAGGCCATTTGTTTCAAAAGGTACTTAAATACTCAATAAAGACATAACAAACCCCTCACTGTTATCAGACGCCACGTTGTGGTAGAACATCAGACAAACTCACAAATTTACCACAAAAATGTGTGGCAAAAAAGAATAGTTTATATATGTATATATATATATATATAAATTTCTATATTTATGCCAATGTACTCACTCAGTACAAATAGCAAAATAGTATACCATTTCCTAAATATAAAATATAGCTTTCCAAAAAAATGAAACACACATTAGATATAAACCATCCAAAACTTGAACGATTGAAAACTGTTTTCAAAATTAAATGACCAGAGTAGGTCTCTTTCTAGAAAGTTCCCTTCATATCGGCAAGAAGCCTGTACTACTGAAAACGTAATCCAATGCCTCTCAGAGAGAGAAAGAAGGGCTAGGGCAGAAAAACAAGGACAAAGAGAAAAAACAAATGACAAGAACAACAGTCAAAGAACAAAAGAAGATCACAAAAGAGGGAATCTAGCTATATAAACAAAACTAACAACACAGCTCCACACAGCTCAACAAATGTGTAGGAAAGGAGAGCTAAAATGAAAAGAAAACTAAGGCAATGGAAAAGAAAACTACAAACTGGCTAATTTTTAAACACTTAGAAAGTAAAAGAAACAAACAGGACACCAAAACATATCAGCACACAGAAGCCACACACGTTGGCCTTATGCTGCATCGACTCTTTCCACATGCCAAAGATAAATGAGACATAAGCATGTGTCCAGATGTAGGTGGTAGTGAGGAGCAGGCACCCCACGGGTGGCAAGAACACTCAAAACTCTACAACTAATGCTACAAATGTGAGTTCTGGAGTGTGTAATTTTGCTCTCTGTAGATGTAACACAAGTCATTTCTTCCTTTTAATCAGTGATATGACCCTGTAAAGCCCAAGGCTTTACATCAATTAAGTGACCACTTCGACTGTAAAGCACTGAGGTGACAAGTGAATTATAGTCACTGCAGCTCAGGGAGAAGTAATAGTTTGAGAAATTTTTGTTTGCCTTGTTTGTAAAGTAAAAATTTATACTGTTTTTCATTAGAGGGGAAAATTTGAAGACTTCAGAACAGCACCGTTCATGGAAGAAAAAAAGAGAGAGAGAATTGTTTTTTTCTCAGGAGTCAACTCCCAATAATCCTAAAAGAGTACTCCTGGCCCCGTGCTGCAGACTGCCAGGTCACTGGATCAATGTGGCTGCCTTCTCTAAATTACTACAGGGTCATAAAGCTGTAGTATATTAATAGCTGTCTAAAACTAAACAGGAAAACAATATAGATGCATATAAAATGGGAGCACTAGCCTAATGCTGGATTAGAAGAAAACAGACTCAAATTACTGTCAGTTTAAACTACTGAAGGAGAATATGAGATCATAATGTCATGTATTATCCCCTTCATTCATAGAACAAAATATTTTTATGCAGTTATGGCTAAATCCCTAAGTAGAAAATACAGAGAACTAACAACTCTCTGAAAAATAAATTCAGTAACATTCCAGCTGTATCCAGTTTTAAAAGCATGTTATCTGAATGTGTGTGATGAGGAGTTCTTAATACAGCATTTTTGTAAGTTATCCCCTTCAGCTTCTCCATGAAAACTGAAAGAAACTCCTTCACTTTGGCCAACATCCATGTGTTTTTTACATCAACAAAATCACAGACTTACTCATTACTAAACTTTACTTTGTCCTAAGCCATTACTTGACTAAAATAATGCAGGGGAAAAAAATGTAAGTAAACATGACAAATGTGATTTTCTAATAACAATAATAACTGAGAGGACCAGCTTTGCACTTTAAAACCCAGGACAAAAACATTTCTGTCACAGCTGGAAAATCCAACAGATTCTCAGTTATCACTGTTACTAGAAACAAAAAGCACATTGGTGGCGAATTACTGCCAACAAGCAGTATGGATGTAGTCTTACAGCCAGGAAATCTACCCATTTACTCAAATGTAGCTCTCCATAATAGTTCAATAATCTTCATGGAACCACAAGTTCTCAGGACATCTTGGAATCATTTCTTTCTTCATGGAATTTCTAGGGGAAAAAAAAAAATCACTATCTCACTAGGGAAGAAAGGCATTTGCGAAATGTCTGTCACCATGGATGATCCCAAAGGACAATATGCATGCAGGGAACCTTATCTCTTTAGTCTCTCTGGCTTTAGTCTAGTCTCTGGTGTTGGGTATTGAACCTAGGGTCTCAAGCATGCTAGGGAAGTGCCCAACTGAGATATATTCTCAGCTTATAATATTTATTATTCTACAGAATTCCCTCTGTCTTGCTCTTCTTTCTCTACTATGATTGAATCTAGGGTTTTATGTGTTAGCCAGATGTTCTGTCATTCTAAAGTAAAGTTTCCAGTCAAAAGGAATGTCCAGTATTCCCAACCTGATCTAAGCTATCATTCAGAGTGTGCTCAAAGGGAATGTACTATTTTAAAAGAATAAAGTCTAAGCAGTGCTATTAACTCATTTAAATATAAGAAGCCGAAATGTAATACTTACACATTAAAAGGAGCCAGTTAAATTGTTCCCTTGGCTTTGCAATGAGACAAGCAAATCGATCTTCTCCATGCTCTGACTGCTGCTCACAGACGAGGCCAGTGGGGAAGTTTCTGGCATTTGCTGAGAAAGAAGTGTTGTCACAGAAGCCTGGCCCTCATTTTGTGCCTGGCCTGGCTGATTTATAGCCATCAGCTGATCCGGTAAGGTACCTGGTCCGGATGTTAAAAGCTGACTACAATCTGTAGAGAAATAAAATCAGAGACATCTCATTAATCAAGATCTATGAAAAATACTTTCATTCATTCTTAGGATGGGTGAGGTGAAGCACACCTTTAATCTCAGCATTTGGGAAGCACAGAAGTTAAACCTCTAAATTCATGGTCAGCCTGGTCTACACAGAGAGTTCCTAAATCTAAATAAAAACACTACTTAGGTATCATCCAAGTCCTATGTAATTACCTGTCATAACAGTTAAAATTGATGTCTACTTCTTTAAAAAAAAAATTAATTGCCTAAGATACTATCTGTCCTTATTTTTCATTTTCCTTTCAAATTAATGGCTTAAAATGGCAAATACATTTTAATACCAACTATATTTAAACCCTCCCACTATCTTTGTGAGGTATTAAAAATTATTGCCGTTTTTGGTTTCTATTTCTGAGACAAGGTCTCATGTATCCTAGGCTAGTCTCAAATACACTACGAAGCCACAGATGACTTTGAATTTCTGATCTTCCTGCCTCTACCTCTAAAAGATTAGGACTACAGAGGCATGAACCATCATGACCAATCTAAAATTGACCACTTTTGAAAATATGGCCATTCAGGCCCATAAAGGCCAAATGACTTGTTCAAGGCCTCAGTCTTCAGCTGGTGGAATTTTTTTTTTTTTTTTTTTTGGTTTTTCGAGACAGGGTTTCTCTGTAGCTTTGGTGCCTGTCCCGGAACTATCTCTTGTAGACCAGGCTGGCCTCGAACTCACAGATATCCACTTGCCTCTGCCTCCCGAGTGCTGGGATTAAAGGCGTGCGCCACCACCGCCCGGCCAGTTGGTGGAATTATTACTCTGCTCTTAAAACATTGTGCTTTGTGCTTCTTTATAATAATCTGAACATCTCGACTGAGTACAGAGAAATTTGTTTCTTACTGTTTTGAATGCCAAATAAGAACATTCCTGAAGTCTGCTGAGATGAGCCAGGAGAATTTTGTAGTTGGTTCATTGTGCCTCCTGTAGTGTTGTGAAATAAAGTAGCCTGGGACTGGGCTGAAGAAGTGGCTCCTTGAATTCCAGGCATGTTGTTCTGAGGAGAATAAAGAGGAGACTGTTGCAAGTCTTGTTGGTTTATACTGGTTTGCAGTGCAGACATGGATGCTGGAGAGAGGAAGAGTGTTACTTGCTGCTCTTGAGAACTAGGTGACCCTTGTACCAACTGGATCTGAGGAGAACTATGGAACAAGGAGGTCTGTGGTGACTCAGACTGCGCAGGACCTGGGTTCTGAAGTGAGGAAACTGTAGGCTGATTCTGAAATTGCATGGGCTGCTGCTCTTGGTTCATTGGGGCCATATTACTTTGTTGGTGAAAAATTGACTGGTTCTGCTGCTCCTGACTAGTCATTGGGTTTTGGCTTGGGCTAAATATCATGTTTGGTGGTGGCTGCTTCTGAGATGCCATTGTAGCCATGGCATTCTGATTACTGAATAAAATGTTCTGCTGCTGCTGCTGTTGCTGCTGTTGCTGCTGCTGCTGCTGCTGCTGCTGCTGTTGTTGTTGCTGCTGCTGTTGCTGCTGCTGCTGTTGTTCTTGGGATGGAGAGTTGCTCTGCATGCCAACTATTGAGTGCTGTGTTTGGAAAATTGCTCCTTGCTGGCTTTGAGGCATTGGATTAGACGGAAGGGAGCCAAGGGCCACCTGAGGCTGAAATAAACCTTGCTGACTGGATTGTGCCTGTTCCTGGGAAAGAATAGGGGTTGGGATGTGTGATATTGGAGGCTGCTGTTGAAAAGTAGCTTGCTGTTCAGGGTTTGATGTTGACTGAAGTGGAGAAATTGAGTTCTGTGCTGCAAAAAATGAAATCTGCTCTTCTTGGCCTACTGTGTTTGTTTGAAGATTATTCATAGAACTTTGGGAAAGAAATATGTTGGGTGACTGCTGATCTTGAGGAACTGAAGAGCCTTGTAATACAGCAATGGTATTCTGAGAGTGAAACATTGGAGGCTGCAACTGCTCAGAGGACGCTGTAGAAGTCTGACTGTGGACAATAGGATTTGGACTGTGAAAAATTGAACCTTGAGTTTCCTGGGAAAGGTTCTGAGCATCAGCAATAGGATTTTGAGGATGAAACAGTTGAGCCTGTGAATGAGAAGACTGCTGCAAAAAGTTCCCAGACTGAAGTGACATCATCTCATTCCCTTGCTGGAACAAGCTATTCCCTTGTTGCTGGGTACCACTATTCTGAACACTCATTATATTTTTTGTAGATGAGAAGAGATTTACTTGAGGCTGGTTGTCTCCACTGTGTTGCATTTGAACCATGGTCTGAAAGACACTGTTCTGAATTTGTTTTGCCTGTGTTCCAGTTTCTTCTCCATCTCCTGAACTTGGTGCCTGAAACATAGTGGAGCCAGGGGTTGTAACCTGTGGTGTGGTGGTTGTTGACGTTTCATTTCCAGAAACTGCAGGAGGAGAAGAGAACAACTCGCACTGCATTTGCATGTCCTCACTGGTAGGCAGTGCACTCATCATGTGAGAAGGCTGCTGGTAAACTGGAGACTGCTGAAGGTTTCCATTTGCTGAAGCAGCTGAAGGAAATAGTTCTGACTGAATCTGGGCAGCTGCTTGGCAAATGCTCTGCTGCATCTCCATCACCATTGCTGCTGATGATTCCATCACTTGCTGTTGCTGTTGTTGTTGCTGCTGCTGTTGCTGATTAGACAGTGTGTTTTCAGGTGGTTGATGGACATTGTCAGCCCTCCCAGGTAGTAAGTTATCTGGTCTGGTATGAACTGCAGGCTCTGTTGAGGCGAACATTCCAGGGCTTACACTACTTTGAATTTGACTGACTTGGAAAATGTCTGCATTAAGTTGTTCCTGAACATTCTCATTACCATCTGGAGCAGAAAACAGAACAGAAGATAACTGTTGTTGTGCCTCTAGAACCTGCTGAACCAAGTCAACACTTCCACTGCTGCCACCAGCGGTGCCACCTGCAAAACTTCCTGCTTGCAGATGCTGAATAGTACTCTGGAGCTGGCTCACACCACTTGGCGGTGGGAAAATATTTGATGAGATCTGCTGCTGCAATGTCTGTGCTTGTTCTTGAAGCGGGGACGGCTGCTGCTGTTGTGATGCCTCAGTCAACTGTGATAAATTAACCACTGTGCCATCTGACTGCAATGTGTCTCTCGACTGAGCTTCTCTTGTCTGAAACTGTGTAGCCTGCTGCAGTAATGCATCACTGCTGGGCAGCTGACTAGAAGTAGAAACTGCTGGAAAAGTCCCAGGCTGCGAGATGTCCTGTGTTTGGATAGTTGTCAGGGCCTCTGGGTTATATGCCTTGGGCTGAAGCTGCTGCTGATTTTCATTTTCAGAAGGTAAGTGGGAAGATGATTGTGATGAAAAAGATGAATTTCCTGTTATGTTAGAAATAGTTTCTAAAGTTGGCTGAGTCGATCCAACTGTCTTTGTAGTCTAAAATATAAAAAGTCACAAATAATATGTACATATACAATAACCACATTATTACTCCAAAACTGTTTCTAAGAATGCACAGAGCTAATTTTCTACTCTACATTACCAATCAGAAATTGGTGTAAGACTGATTCTCTATGATATAATTAATTTCTGATTATCAGTACTGTAATCATGTATTGGTATGTTTAGCCAAATTAAGAATAGTAAGAGAACATTAATCCTATTAATCCTATGATTTGTGTGTAACCAAATTTAAAACACTTCCACATTGTGGATCATGGGTAACACTGCAATGGGGAAAAGTGAGTTAAAGGGGGAACTGAAAAGACAGGAGAGAAGAAGCCATAATCAAATGTTCCTACCTCTGAAAATGCTAAAATTAGTGCTTTAATTAAATCAACCAATTTTGGGGGCAGAGTCTTTCTGTTCAATCAGGTTAAACTTGAACTCACATCCTTGGTTCCTTATCCCGAAAACCAACTTGTAATACCTTTATAAAAACCCCTCATCTCACAGGTATTAATTTCTCCTCTTGTCAAAATGTGTACTGGAAGTTACTTTGCAAACAATTTTACTGACATATAAAGCATATGCTCTGAAAAGCAAAATTAAATAGGTATATCCAATGAAAAATAAATGTCAAAGAAACAAGAAAGGTAAATATAGCAGTTTTTCATATATGAGATAAAGATATGGGGCACTAGTAACATAACTCACCTGAAAAATAGGGGAAGATCTTTTCTCTGCTGTTACTTCCATTGGAGTGACATCCTCAGTCTTAATCATACTGCTTGATATGAGTGGAGTGATCAGGGCATTAGGAAGAATGTTCACCTTATCTAAGTTACATCCAGATGTTTTCATTGCTACACACATAAAAAAAATTGCAAATCATAAAAATAACCAAAAGAAAACCTATCTGTTTACTATAAGCCATTGTTTAAACCTATTTTTTTGTTTGAAGTAGTCTCTATACAGTCTAGACTGGCCGCAAACTTATCATCTTACTGCCTCAGCCGCCAACAGCTCAAAGTATGGGTGTACCACTATACTGGTGGCATAAATGTCTATTTTATTTACTTGTCTATTTTTTGATGTTATTATGGATGTAATGGATGATATATTTACCCTTACCCCATTTTTGAGAGGCTCTCATGTAGTTCAGGCTGGCTTCAAGCTAGATATGTACCCTAAGAGTTACCTCAAACTTTTGATCCTCCGGCCTTGACTTGGCACTACATGTGTAAGTCATTATGCCTAATACAGGCAAAGACAGTTATTGAGCCCAGGGCTTAATGCATCCTAGGCCAGCACTCTGCCCACTCTGCTACTTATCCCCACCCCTACCTGGCTTGAAGATTCTTGGTATGAGCTGAGAAGGCAGGCTTATTTATGCAGTATCACGCCAGGTAATCAAACCAAGAAACACCTGAAACCTAGAGAGCCCCCCACCACTAAAGAAATACCCCCGATTGTAGGCTAAATAATAAACTAAACTGACTCAAATATCAGGCTGTATTCCATAAGGCACATGCTAGGTGTCACTAAACAAGGATCGTGCTTAGCTTATTTTAGCACAGACTGGTAATCTCCAAGCATTCCAACCTTTTAAAGGCTAAGATTATTGAAGTATCTCACAGTAAAAATTTAAGAAAACATAAAGTAATTCATAAATTTTTATTCTCTGTTCAATGTTTTAGAAACTTGAACAATTCGAGGTGATGCATTAAATACATTTCTCACTATTTTTTACCTCTATCAACCTCCACTTCCAATAGCTACTGATTTACAGCTAGGAGTGGCGACTATTACTTTTCTACTCTAGTCCCACTGACTAGTCCCCATGACTTCAATTCTTTTTTCTTCTTTTTAACCTTACTTGAATTTGCCACTGGTACTTTATGAAGCCTACTGTTATTGTTTATCACAGTCTGAATTGATCACACAGCTAAAGCCTGATCCAGAAGTTTGAGACTCTGGAAAAGAAATGTCTTTTTTTTTTTTTTTGTCTTGTTTATTGTTTTTCAAGACAGGGTTTCTCTGTGTAACCCTAGCTGTCCCAGCAAACTCTCTCTGTAGTTCAGGTTGGCCTCAAGTCACAGAGATCTGCCTGACTGCCTCCTGAGTGCATTAAAGAGAGTAAAGGTGTGAGCGCAGCAGAAATACAGATTATTAAGACAGTTTTTACTAATATGCAGCTCATGCTGGTCTCCAACATTTCATTTTCCCTTCTCAGACTCCAGGGTGCAAGCGTAACATCACATGTCACTATGCCTAGCATCTCAGAAACTTTCAAATGTTATTATTTTAATTTTTATTCATTTTTTAATTTCCTTTTCATATTCTTGCTCTTTTAAAAAAATATTTATTTTTACGTTATGTGTATGAGTGTTCTGCCTGTTTGCAAGTATGTGTACTAGGCACTGCTGAAGGTCAGAATCCCTGAAACAGGAGTTACACACAGACAGCTGTGAGCCACCATGTGGGTACTGGGAATGAAACCAGGGTCCTTTGCAAGAACAAATGCTCTTAACCACTGAGCCATCTCTCCAGCCCCTGCACTGTTTGAGACACTCTCATGTTTCTCAGGGTAGCTTAAACTCAAAGCCCAAGACCTGAACAAATACCACTGCCTTCGCTTTCCAAGCACTGGGACTGCAGGTGGATACCACCAACACCTGGTTTACGCAGTGTGGAAAGCCAACCCAGGGCCTCGTCCGTCCATCAGGCAAGCACTTTACCAACTGAGACACATCCGCAGTCAGAAATAGGAAAATGTGAAGACTTTCCTATTCTTTTTATTACTGATTACTTTCTTTTATTTTTGTTTATTTACTTTTGGGGAGAGGGCCTATGTGGTTCTGGAATTTACTATGTAGACCAGAGTGACCTCAACCTCACAGAGATCCTCCTATCTCACTTTATTATTGATTTTTTGTTTGACTTCACTATAAGTGGAAGACATAATTTCCCTAGTTTCAATGAAACATAACTAGCAACATCAACAACAAAAACAAAAATCAGTTCAGTTTTAAGTTCTATAATTTCCATTTGGTTCTTTTTTAAAAACCTCCACTTTCTTTACTAAAATCTTCTGTTTTTATTTTGACTTTCACTAGAAAATTCAATTTTACTTGTTGCATTAATCTCATGGTCAAACTTTTTGTTACATAGTTCAACACTTTAATTAATATTCACATCAGTTATCTTTTCTCTTTCCAGTTGTGATTTTTCTTGGTTCATAATATGACAAATGTCTTTAAAAAATTATTTCAAGACCACCTTGGATTTTGCTAGGAAATGAAAGAGCAAGAGAGAGAGACACAGACAGAGAGAGAGAGAGAGACACAGAGAGAGAGACACACACAGAGAGAGAGAAACACAGAGAGAGAGACACACACAGAGAGAGAGAGACACAGAGAGAGAGTGCGAGCCTGCTTAGAGAGGTTTCAATATGTAACCACAATATTATTTTGGGGGATCAAGATCTAAATGTTATTACAAATCATAGCTATTTTTAAGAATGATCCTTCAACGCCTTTAATCCCAGCACTCGGGAGGCAGAGGCAGGCGGATCTCTGTGAGTTCGAGACCAGCCTGGTCTACAAGAGCTAGTTCCAGGACAGGCTCCAAAACCACAGAGAAACCCTGTCTCGAAAAAAGCAAAGAAAAAAAAAAGAAAAAAAAGAATGATCCTTCAAGGATTATCGCTTCTACAGAAATTTAAGTGTCATTCATGCCATATAGTCTCTATCATGAAAGTATTGCTGATTAAATTTCCACACAGCATTCTGGCTCAGCAATAAAGCTTGAGGAATCATAAAATATAAGCTATTTGCTAATTTTGCTTATGATGACAAATTTAAAGTCTAAACCTATAAGACAGTTTAGAACTCAATTTAGTTTACATCTTCACAAAATTATTTTACCTTACTTTTTAAAATATATTTATTTTATGTGCACTGGCGTTTTGCCATGGAATTGGGTCGCCTAGTAAGTGGAATTATAGACAGTTATGAGCTGTCATGTAGGTGCTTTGAATTGAATCCAGGTCCTCTGGAAGATCAGTCAGTGCTCTTAACCACTGAGCCATTTCTCCAGTCCCCCCCACACACACCATTTTATCCTACTTTTAATTGATAAGGTATTTATCAAAATAAGATCTGAATTATGAAAAAGAGTGCCTGTTTCATATTCAGTTTATTTGGAGGGGAGAACTAGTAAAATTTTGCTCAAATGACTAAATATTTTATCACTAAAACACAATAAAAACCATTGCTTTTTAAAATTCAATATGTGCTCTTTTACGTGAAATTTCATGCAGGACAGGGTTGTGATCTATCTATGGGATCTGATTTTCTAGGAACACAGGTTTGAGAGTAGACTATAGTCAGGCACCATGGCTCACGCCTATAAATCCCAACATGCTGGAGGCTGAGTCAGGAGATTGCCAGGAGGTCCAGGCCAGCCTGGTTAACAGAGTGAAATCCTGTCGCAAAACAAACAGGACAGATTACAAACATACTTGATATTCTTTAGTAATTACAGTATTCATTTAATGAATGTGAATTGATTAATTAATTAATACTTCTTTCTCCCTTTGTTTTTTGGTTTTTTTTTTTTTGAGATAAGAGTTTCTCTGTGTAGTCCTGGCTGTCCCGGAACTCACTATGTCGACCAGGCTGGCCTCAGACTCTGGGTGGTAGGCTGGCATTAAGGGCATATGCCACCACTGCCTGACAAAGATCTATAGAATGAAGCTGAAACAAATTTTCAATCAAGCTGAGTGACCTTATACAAGTCACTTAATTTCTGAGTTCTGGCTTCATTTTCTTATGAAGAGCTTGGCATCAACTTCAAGTAAATGTTCAATGAACACTAGCTACACAGTCAGGCTTGTGGCTGTCTTTAGTTGAGTCTGATAAAATTCCCAGTGTATTCCCAACCTCATAGTTTTTTACTAATCTACTCTGGAAAAGGTTCATGGTCACAATTACAATAGCAAGTAAGGAACTATTCTACATCGAATTCTCAGTTTTATTACTGAGAAGTTTCATTGTAATCAAGCTCATTATACCCCTTTATATAATTTAATCCACATGAATTTAAGGGCAGGAAAATGGGGGGGGGGTTACAAAATGGTGTCGTTATGTAATCTGTACCTTCGTAGGTAAAGGCATAAAAGCATCATCACAACATACTATAAACTGTGGAGCAGAATCTGCCTACTACACTGTAACAGACTTAAATCACTTTATATTTATGGTTTCCTTTGTATAGGGCTTTCTGAGACAGTTTTACTATGCAGGCTAGACAGGCCCAGTACTGGCACTGTAGGCATCACACCCATTTTTGTTGTTGTTTTAGAAAGGTAGAACAGTCAGGTGGTGGTGGCACATGCCTTTAATCCCAGCACTCGGGAGGCAGAGGCAGGCGGATCTCTGTGAGTTCGAGACCAGCCTGGTCTACAAGAGCTAGTTCCAGGACAGGCTCCAAAGCTACAGAGAAACCCTGTCTCGAAAAAACAAACAAACAAACAAACAAAAAAAGGTAGAACAGGGCAGTGGTGGCCCTGGGGAGGCAAAGGCAGGCAGATCTCTGAGTTTGCAGCCAGCCTGGTTTACAAAGCCAGTTCCAGGACAGCCAGGACTGTCATAGTTTCGAAAAAACAAACATTCTAATTGGTAAGGAAATTATAAACATGTCAGAAGGAAGAATGGTTAGATCCCAGGGCAACTTTTCATATATCTACAGTTCATGTCAGTCTTTTTGGTCTTAGTAACAAGTACACTCCTTTCATAAAAAAAAGCTCCATAATTTCTACTTTACATTTTTGGGGTGAGGGGGCGTTGAGAAAGGGTTTCTTTGTGTATTCCTGGCTGTCCTGAAACTTGCTCTGTAGACCAGGTTGGCCTTGAACTCAGAGATCCACCTGACTCTGCCTCACGGGTGCTGAGGATCAAACTTGTGTGCCACTACCAGCAGTCTTCTGTTTTATTTTTTGTGTGTGTGTTTATTACTTTTAAGGGGTTTGGACTTTGTTTTTTTCTATTTCTGTATTTATTAATCTATGTGTATGTGTAGTGTACATACTATGGGAAGGTTAAGAAGACAAAATGTCAGAGTTGGTTCTTTTCTTCCACCATGTGTGTTTGGGGATCTAACCCAGGTCATCAGACTACTGGCAAATGTTTTTATCCACTAAGTCATCTTGAAGGCCCTTAAAGTTTTTGTTTTGTTTTCATTATATTTATTTTATGTACATTTGCCTACATGTATGTAAGGGAGTCCACTACCCTGGAACAGGGGTTTAAACAGCGTGAGCTGCCACGGGGGTGCTAGGAATCAAACCTGGGTCTTCTGGGAGAGCAGCCAATGCAGTGCTCTTGATTGCTGAGCCATGTCTTCAGTCCCCCTTTAAGGATTTTCTTTTTTACACTTAAGAATTTAAAAACAGCCAGGCGGTGGTGGCACACACCTTTAATCCCAGCACTCAGGAGGTAGACACAGGTGAGTTCAAGGCCAACCTGGTCTACAAGAGCTAGTTCCAGGACAGGCTCCAAAGCTACAGAGAAACCCTATCTTGAAAAAAACAAAAAGAATTTTAAAACAAAATTCCTCTATTGTAACATATTTGTTATTTTGACAGAAGGCCTTGCTGTGTAGCCTACGGTCTTGAACTTGAACTCATGGATGATTCCCCTGCCTCCCAAGTGTTAGGATTCCAAGTACACACCATCATATTTGGTCTATTATGGTTTTGTTTTTAAAGTATATCAATATGCTAAATAAAGGAAAATAGCAAATTAAAAAACAAGTCTCTGCATCAGTAAAGTCAGACAAATATTTATTTTATAATTTGGAAAACACCTTGCTAAGTATCAGAACACATCAGAGCGGACAATGCACTAAGGTTTACTAGTGAACACTTAGGATGGCCAAATTAGTATCTAAGAAATATCAACTTGGTACCTTTCATGGCTTCTTCAAAAGAGCAAGGCCTTGCTGGACTAGACGTCTCCTTTTTCACACTGACATTCAAAGCCCCAGCTGCTGCTGTGAAAATAAAAGTCACATATTTATTTCAATTTATTGATCCTGGCAAAGCACATATTCTTACTCTTTAACTGGAATATCTTCTCAGCACATCACTGACTTATTTACTCTAAGTCCTGGGTTGAGTTAATTTTTATAACCAGCAGACTACCCTCTAAAATGCATTCATCTCCAAGTAGATAGGACATATGATCACTGACCAGATCAGAAAACTTTAAGAATCCTTTAAACACTATACATATTAGTAACATGAGATGAATGGAAGAGAGATATTTAAAACTTAACAGGTATATTAGAGCACTAGCAAGAAAAAAAATATTTACCTATACGAATTTATTTAAAAGTACCAACCCAAAAACATTTGTTAATATTTAAAGTAAGTTAAAATATGCATGATGAACATACTAGCTCTATGATTATTCTTTCAGTAAAACTTTGGAAAAGAATCTTTACTAGCATAAACAGAGAACAGTAAGCCTACATTAAATCTTCCAGAACAGGTTTTGATTTTATGAGCTGAAAAACAAAGATCATTTCTAAATGATAATTTTGAACTCCAAATAAGTCAGTTTGGCTTCAAATGGTAATGATTTTTATTACTACTGCTGAGAAAAGGGTACCTTTCCCAGTGGTTCTCAACCTGTGCATCAAAACCCCAAAGGGGTCATTTATCAGACATCTTGCATACCAAAAATTTATGGTAACAGTGGCAAAATTACAGATATTAAAGTAGCAAAGAAATAATTTTATGGCTGGGGTGAGGGTCACCACAACATGAGGAACCAATCATTTTTTTCTATTAAGACAGGGTCAAAGCATTAGAAAGGTTGAGGAAACACTGTCCTAGTCAAATCAGGAGGTCATCTAGATTTAGCTAGATTGGCTGGCTATCAAGCCACAGATCTTCTTGCCTTCAGTGCATGTGGGTGCTGGGAACTGAACTTGGGTTCTCTGCAAGAGCAATAACTGTTCAACAACACACAATGTTGAGGAAACTCAATTGAGAAAATGCTTCCATAACATCCACTTCTATAACATCTGGCTGTAAGGAATGTTATTAATTACTGACTGATGGGGGAGGGCTCAGTCCATTGTGGGTGGCTCTATCCCTGGGCTGGCGGTCCTGGGTTCTAGCAGAAAGCAGAAACCCTAAAACAGTCATTAATCCAGTTCTCTAGGCATGTACCACTGTAGTCAGCTTTCTTGTGTGGGCCCTAGCCATGGATCTCAGGATCTTAATCTTGTGCAACAAGTACTTTACTGACTGAGCCATCTATCTAACCTATATTTAATTCCCTTTATTATATGTATGTGTAGATATGTGTGCACATGTATGTCCATTTGTGTAAGAGGCCAAAGGTAAACCTCAGGTATCCCTAGGAACCAACCATTTTTTTCTATTAAGACGGGGTCTCTCATTGGCCTGGAGCTCACTGATTAGGCCTGGCTGGCGAGCAAGTCTCAGGGATTCTCCTATCTCACACTCACTAGCTCTGGTACTTACAAGCTCACACCATTACAACTGGTTTTAGAAAATATGTTCAGGGAATCAAGTTCAGGTTTTCACACTTGCACGGCAAGCACTTTACACTACAGATTGAATTCTCAAGCCTAATAAGAATGTTTTTAAAGCAAGGCAGTAGTGGGGTAGCATTTAACCCCAGTTACTTTTGGACTCCAATTCTGTTTTCCTTTTTGCCCCCTGGTTCTCAGTTTCTATGTGCAACAGTTCTGGCTATCCTGTAACTCACAGAGATCTGCCTGCTGGGATTAAAAGCACATGCCACCCTGATTTCTAAACTATGAAGTGCTTAAAATTATATTTAAAACATTGCCAGGGATTGGTGGCAAATGGCCTTTAATCCCAGCATTCAGAAGGCAGGCAGCCATCCTGGTCTACATATAGAGTTCTGGAACAGCCAGAGCTGTTACACAGAGAAATCCTGTCTCAAAAAACCAAACCAAACCAACCAACCAAACTACCAAAACATTTATCATAAGTCTAGTTTTATGTTATTACTTATCACTTCAAGTTTCTCCTTTTTAGAATGCACACTAGGGCCCAGAGGAATAGTTTGGTGGTCAAGCATGTAATTAGCATATTAAGGCCCTGGAACCAAACCCAATGTGAGGGGAAGGAGGGGTAATAAATCAGTCAAACTAGAGCATTAGCAATTTCCAGTTGGGAGTTTCACCTCTGCATTTAAAGGCACTCAATGAACAGTGGTCTTCACTAGGAAGTGAGCTCTGCGGACTCTGGAGCACTTGACTTCAAGCACTGTCAGCTCTTCTATTATTGAGAACAGGAGGGAAGGATTCTAAGAACAACAGTAGTATCTTGTAGCTGTCTTTTGAGAAAATATCCATTTCCAAGTCAAATTAGTAGAAATTCATATTTACAGGTTTTTTTATTTTTGGTTGTCTGGACTTCAAACTTTTTCAAAAGGATTAGAAATTAATTATTCATTTTAGTTCAGAGTTTTTCATTTTGACATACCTGGGTCTGGAGTGTATGTAAATGGCTGAACATCATGAGATCTTCCAGCATTGGTCACAACATATATTCCCACTGATACAGGCAAAGTTATATGTTGGTCATGATATGGGGGAACCTTCACAATAAGATGGTTCTAATTAAAGAAAAGTGTAAGAATCAGAAAAAAAAAAGGCAATGTTAAAAGAGAAAAATAAATACATTATCTGCATAGCTTTTAAAAATTTGTTATAAAAAAATGCACTAGATTTTTAGAGTCAGGTCTTGCTACAAAGCTCAAACCCTCCTCATCTCTAGGTCTTCCTGCTCCATTCATGATGTAGGTGGGCCTTCTGTCTACGTGTTACGTTCATTGGTTAATAAAGGAAACTGCTTGGCCTGATAGGTCAGAACATAGGTAGGTGGGAAAGACAGAACAGAATGCTGGAAGGAAGAAGGCAGTGAGGCAGACGCTATAGCTCTCCTCTCCAAGATGGATGCAGGCTAGAATCTTCCCGGTAAGCCACCGCTTCGTGGTGCTACACAGATTATTAGAAATGGGTTGATCAAGATGTGAGAATTCGCCAATAAGAGGCTAGAACTAATGGGCCAAGCAGTGTTTAAAAGAATACAGTTTGTGTGTTATTATTTCCGGGGCTAAGCTAGCCATGCGGGAGCAGGTGGGACGAAAAGCAGGTCTGCCAGCTGCTCCTCTCTACACATCCAGACTCCCAGCTTTATCTCAGACTTGTTCTCTCCAACTATAGTATTTTCATCTCTCTCAGATGGCCAAGTCCTTACCCATACCCAGGTCTTATACACAAACACCACCTCCTCAGAAGCCTTCCCTTTCCCGTCCATTTTTTTGAAGTATTTATTCTTCCCCAAACCTAATTATATTTATTTTCCCAACATAACTTTTTCTCTTTCTTTCTTTCCTTTTAGTGCTGTTTTGATTTGGGTTTTTTGTTTTGTTTTTCAAGATAGGGTTTCCCTGTAGCTTTGGAGCCTGTCCTGGAACTCACTCTGTAGACCAGGCTGGCCTTGAACTCAAAGATCTGCCTGCCTCTGCCCAAAGGCATGCATCACCATTGCCCAGCATAACAGCACTTTTTAATCACTTCAAAGTACTGTTTTTTGTCTCTCTCAAACAAAAGAAAGTAGAAGCTGCACAAAGATTTGTGGTGCTCTGCCTCACAATCTGTCAGGATGCACAAACACAAAACGCACTCAGATGTCATCTAAAACACATTGCCTGGCTGGCCTGTGAGTCTTACTACTCCCCCCTCAACCTGGGTTTATAGGTGTGTACACCACCACGCCCAGTTTCAAGGTTCTGTCATTTCCTTTTCCTTTCGAATACTTCAGCTTTATTTTCCATTTAATGCAAGCTCTAGGTCTGTTCTCTAGGATACCAGATCTTACTCTACTCTAAGAAAATGTTTCCCAGAAAGGCACTTAACTCCTCTCTCTCTGAAAAAAATAATAAATTTAAAAAATTAAAAATGAGGGGCTGGAGAGATGGCTCAGTGGTTAAGAGCATTGCCTGCTCTTCCAAAGGTCCTGAGTTCAATTCCCGCAACCACATGGTGGCTCACAACCATCTATAATGAGGTCTGGTGCCCTATTCTGGCCTGCAGACATACACACAGACAGAATATTGTATACATAATAAATAAATAAATATTTTTAAAAAATTAAAAATGAACAAAACCACAGAAACAATGACTTATCATGCTATGATTTAGTTTATAAGTTCATTGGCAGAAAGTCCAAGACTGGGCTGGGAAGATGGCTCACCAGGTAAAAATGCTTGTGAAAAAGCCTAATGACCTAGTTTGATCCTGAAACCCAAAGAAAGGTGGAAGGAGAGAACTGACACCACAGAGTTGTTCTCTGACTGCCACATGTACACACACTCCAACACACCCTATACGATAGTAAAACAACAAAATCACAGCCCTCTAAAGACCTCTAGCATTCCAAATCTACCACACAAACCCGATTTGATACCTAGATCATATGGTGGAAAGACAGAGCCAAGTCCATAAATCTGTCCTGACTTATTATGCACATACTACATGCCATGTGTGCCCATACATATACATCATACATATTTTTAAATGTAAATTTAATTATTAGGCCGAGGATGGGCATGGCTCAATTGTTAGTGCTTGTCTACCATGCATGAAGCCCTGGGTTCAATCCCTGGTGTACTGGAGAAGCCAGGTATAATAATACATGTTTATGATCCCAGCACCTGGGAAGCAGAGGCAGAAGTTCAAGGTCATCCTTGGCTATATAGCGAATTCACAACCAGCCTAGACTACATGAGCATTTCATGAAAAGAAAAAAACAGGGGGTGGGGTGGGTAACATCCCATTTCTCAGAAGGGAAGGAAGAATAAAAACTGGATGGATGAGGAGAGGAAAATTGAAACAAGTGAGAGAGAAGACAATAAAGGGGAATAGAATGAGGGTAAAGGAGAGGGTGAGGGAAAAGGAGAGAGCACTAAAATAAAGGGGGATTATAGTAATCTAACCAATATGTCAAAATTCAAAGCGTGTAGGTAGTGAGACCCTGTCTAAATAGGTAACAATAACAAAAACAAACTGATACGTGTTCACAGCACAAGAAAGTATTCTAGCCGGGCGGTGGTGGCACACGCCTTTAATCCCAGTACTTGGGAGGCAGAGACAGGCGGATCTCTGTGAGTTCAAGACCAGCCTGGTCTACAAGAGCTAGTTCCAGGACAGGCTCCAAAACCACAGAGAAACCCTGTCTCGAAAAACAAAAAAAAAAAAACAAAAAAAAAAAAAAAGAAAGTATTCTATTGAGTCATAGGCTTCAATTACCTAGTAAAACTAGATACATAGAATTAAATTAGAACATGGGGTGCAGTGCCCTCAGAAAGAGCAGACTTTAGATCACAGTTCCCTTTTCCTTCAGGACAATGAAATGAACTGACAAGTCTTCCATGGTATCTATTACAAGCTTGGAATTGCAAGGACCCCACTTGTTCCTGCCAATAGTGCTCTAGAGTGTTCCTGCTGCTCATGGCAAAGTGGGGGTCACCTGATTATGTGACAGAATAAATAAAATACATAATTGATGAAGCTGCCCAAACAAAGTGAAACTGCTCAGAACAAACAACAAAATTACTTCAGACGTTTAAATTGTACCTGATGGAACAATTCCATGTCTATCTCAGCTTCTGATTTCCAAGAGTGTTCATCTGATGGAAACAAAAACAGTGATTTAAAAGATTTTGAACTTTTCCACTCTGCAGCTTTAACTGTATTCTTATAACAAGGGAAACATGGAACACTTATATGCCCTACTTACCAGAAACATTTTCCTGGAAAATAACTTTAGTTCCTTTCAGAAAGTTCTTCCCAATTAAAAACACTTCTTCCTCTCCTTTCACTGAACAGCTATGCAAACTTTTCTTTAAGATCTCAGGAACTCCTGCTGGCTGAGCTGTGGATATACACAGATAAGCATTCCATAAAAAGAGCCACCAACACTCAGTCTAATCTACAACTTATATCATGAATCCAGTTTTATGAGTTGTTTATGTTAATCACAAATTGGGGGGGGGGGGTTATTACATTTTATTTATGTCAGACTGTGTATCCACCTGTGTCTCTGTGTGTGCAAGCATGTACACATGCACGCCACAGTGGGTGGTCCAAGAACAACCTGTGAGAGTCAGTTCTTTACTTCTACTAAGTGGGTCCAGATATCAAACTCAAGTTGTCAGGTTCAATTCCTAGCACCCACATGGTTCACAATCATTTGTAACTCCAGTTCCAGGGGATCTGATGTCATCTTCTGGCCTCTGTGGGTACCAGGAACGATGTGGTAAACAGGCAAAAACACCCATTCACACTAAATTTAAAAAAAAAAATCTATTTTTTAAAAGGATTTATTTATTATTTATAACAATAGTGATAAATAGTACTTTTCCATATATGTCTGCAGGCTAGAAAAGGGCACCAGATCTCCTTACTGATGGTTGTTAGCCAACATGTGCTTGCTGGGAATTGAACTCAAAACCTCTAGAAGATCAGTCAGTGCTCTTAACCTCTGAGCCAACTTCAGCAGCCCCTAAAACTCTATTTTTAAAGAAATCAATGTGTTTGGGTTGGTGAGATGGCTCTGAAGACTTGGGTCCCAGAATCCACACTGCAGAAGCAAAGAACCCATTACTATAAGCAGTCTTTGACCTTGCATGTGCACCGTGGAACACACACACCTAAACACATACTACACATAATGCTTGTTTCGCTTTAATGGTCTAAAAGCTCATGGCAAAGATGCTTAGAAATCCTAGGGCTAGGCAATTGCCTTCTGGCATCCTATTTAAATAACTTATTTGGGGGGACACTGCTGGGAAACTAATCCAGGACACTTAAGTGACACGATCACTGGCTCAAATTATGTAAAATATTTTTTAAATTACATTAAAATGTATTTATTGTGTATCACAACTTATGGGAGTCAGTCCTCTCCACCATATGGGTTCCAGGGACCCAACTCATAACATCAGGCTTGGTAACAAGTGCTTTTACCTGCTGAGCCATCTTAGAAGCCCTCAAATTACTTAATTTTTTTAATTTAACATAATTTTATGTGTTTTGCCTGCATGTATGTCTGTGCACCACATGCATGCACTGCCCCTGGAGGGGGAATGGGACATCAGATCCCTGAGACTCTGTGCTACCCTGTAACTGCTAGGAATCAAATCTAAGTCCTCTAGAAGAACAACCATCCTCTCTTCAGCCCTTTACAATATCAGCATATGATGATAATAGGGTCTTATAAATGGTTATGTATCTTTCTAATGTATTTTAATACTTTTAAGTTCTGAGATGGATTTCTGGTAGCTCAGGCTGTCCTTAACCTCACTACTAAGGTGAGAGCTAAGAATGACTTAGAGTCTGAAACATATCTTGTCTTTCAGAACAGACTGGACTATACTCTGGCCATCTTCTTGCTTCTACCCTTAGTTAACTAGGATTACAGTCTGTGCCACCAATCCAGCTAACAACTTTTTTTTTTTTCCAAGACAGAGTTTCTCAGTAGCTTTGGAGCCTGTCCTGTCCTGCAACTCACTCTGTAGACCAGGATGGCCTCAAATTCACAGAGTTCTGCCTGTCTCTGCCTCCCAAAATGCTGGGATTAAAGGCATGCACCACCACCATCCATCCAGCACCACTGTGTTCTCTTGACTCCAGCTTTAAAGTGTTTCAAGTTTGACATGTTCATGAGCTAAAGTATAAACATTAAATTTTACAGATACCTGAAAAATTGAGCTTAAGAACTCTTCATATATATATCTAGCATCTCCGTATTTCCTTACTTACTACACAAAATTGGGGAAGAGGGTGTCTGCAATGTCAGAGTGGAGCCGTCTTTCCTTGTGATATTGACTCGAAAAACCAATCTGGCTCGAGTGCTCTTTTTCTTGGAACCAGCAATTCCTATTCTGGCTTCAACATCGGCATTCCTCAGCTTCAATATTCCTACGCAGTCCACCCTAAAAACAGAAAAAAAATGGACCAAATGACACTGTTATTGTCTAAATAGTATAACGTTTTGTTGTTGTTTTTGAGATTTTTTTTTTTGAGATAGTTGTAGATCAGGCTGGTCCGAAACTCACAGAGATCTACCCGCCTCTCACTCCTCAGTGCTGGGATTAAAGTCAGTGCCACCACTGCCCAACAATAGTACAACATTTTAAAACAAGTTTCTTTATTTAAAAGGCTGATTCTTTTAATTCTTTGAATATGTAATAGTCAAAAGGCCCCCAAAGAATAAATTTTAAATACTAAAGCTCTTACTCTCATCAGTCTTCTATTTAAAATAAAAAAACAGTAAAGAAACAAAATTATTCCTTAAATATGAACATAAGTAATGGCCTTCAAAAGACTTATGTATTTTTGTGGGTACTCGGGAGGTAGAGGCAGGCAGACCTCTCTGAGTTTGAGGCCAGTCTTGTCAACATAGCAAGTTCCAGGAATCTCAGGCTATTCAGTGAGACTCTGCCTTTAAAAAAAAAAAAAAAATGTGTGTATGCATATTATATACTGTCTTATTTATTTATTGTAAGCATTTGTTTGTCAGTGTATCTGTGTACCATATGTGTGCTTGGTATCCTCGGAGCTAGGAGGGCATCAGATCTCTTGGAACTGGAGTTAAATAAAGTCAGCTTCTAAGCAGCCATGTGGGTACTGGGAACTGAAACCCTAATCCTCTAAACAAGCCATAAGTGCTCTTAACTGATGAACTATCTCTCCAGCCCCTATTCTGTTTCTTTTAGAAAGGAAAACGGACTCTGTTTTTGTAGCTAACTCAGATATTAAAACAGAATGAGGGAGTGGAGAGATGGCTCAGCAATTAAGAACACTGGCTCTATCTAACTAGAACAGAAGACAATGCCTCAGTTCCTAACGCCTACATGAAGGCTCAAAACTGTCTGTTACTAAAGTCTCAGAGGATGTGATGCCCTCTGTGGGCATCAGGCATGCAAGTGGTGCATAGACATACAGGCAACACTTCATACACCTAAAGTAAAATGTTTTTAAAAACCAGAATGGGTTATGCTTTATTTAAAAAAAAAAAATTGCCAGGCACACGCCTTTAATCCCAGCAAGAGAGAGTCAGGTGGATCTTTGTGAGTTCAAGGACAACCTGGTTTACAGAGTTAGTGTAGGGACAGGCTCCAAAGCTAGACAGAGAAACCCTATCTCAGGGGGAAAAAATTAGTAACTAGCCTCTGCAGTGGAAGATTATATAGGCATTAAAAACTGGTAGCATTTTTAAAAACTGCAAAATATTCCTAAATTAACTGAAAAGCAGATTACAAAATAATGGACATAGTATTATCTCAATTTTGTCAAAAACAAAACTGAACAAAAACCTGGAAAGATAAACATTGTCTATATAGAGAACTCCAGGACAGCAAGGACTATACAAAAACAAACACAAAACACAAACAAACAAACCCCCCCAAAAATCCACACAATAAAATTTAAGTTATTCATACAATTTTTAGAACATTCATTTGTTCATTCTTGTTGGGGGCAGGCATGCCAAGGTACGTGTGGAGGTCAGAAGACAACTTCTTGTGACTCAGTACCTCATTCTACCATACAGGCCCTAGGATGTCTTCTCTGAACCACCTCTGGAAGGGTTATTTTAGGGTTTTAAAAAATATTTCTTCTCTGTTTTCTTTTGGAAACAGGGTCCCAATTTCATTATGTAGTCAAGTGTGACCATGGACCTCTGAGTGCTTGTGTTACAGACATGTGGCATCACACCTACGTCACACTGTGCTGGGGATCCAACGAAGGGCCAATCAAGATACATTCCCCAGGCCCCTGGCTATGTAACTTTTATTCTCAGTATTAATATTGAAAATTTCAATAGTTAAGTCTTGATCTCATCTTCTAAAAAGCCAGCATTCTCCTGAGCCTTCATTTCCCTGCTTTGAGAATTTTTAGGAAAGAAAAAAGGGGTATAATTTAGTCCGTCATCATTCTAGAGGAACCCTTTTTCTCTTTTTGGTTGTAAGCCTAGCCTTTAACGGCGAAACCACTGCTATAGCCCTGTAGGAACCTCTTTAAAAGAAGAGTTTGTTCTATTTAAAACTTTAGTAAGATCCTCAAAATCAGCTAAACATGGTGACCCATACTTACCTAGCACTCAGGAAGCAGAGGCAGATGGATCTGGGTTAGAAGCCAGCCTGGTCTACAGAGCTAGTTCCAGTACAGCCAGGGGTATACAGAGAAACCCTGTCTTGAAAAACAAAAGACAGACAGAGACAGAGAGAGACACAGAGAGAAAGAGACAGAGAGAGAGAGAGCCTCAAAATCTTCTATTCTCTAGAACGATAAATATTTTCCCGAGTATCATAAAAGTATAATAAATAATAAAAAGTATCGTAGGAACTAGAGAAATGGCTCAGAGGTTAAGAGCACTTGCTAATCTTGCAGAGGACTTGGGTTTGGTTTCTAGCAGTCATGCAGGTTGGCTCGCAACTGCCTGTCACTCTAATTCCAGGAGATTCAATATCCTCTGTAGGCAACTGCACACACATAATTCACATAAACTCACAAAGGAATACACACACATAAATAAAGTAGATCCATTTTTAAAATTTCCCATCAGCCAGGTGTGGTGGTGCAAAACGTTAATCTAAGCTCTTGGAAGGCAGAGACAGGCCCAGCCTGGTCTATACAGTAGTTCCACAGTACAGCCAGGGCTATGTAGAGAGATCCTGTCTCCAAAAAGAATAAAACCAAAACTAAAACAAAAGAAAAAAAACAGATAGATAAAAAAAAATAAAATAAAAATTTGCCAGGCATAGTGGCACACACCTTTAACCTAGCACCCAGGTGGCAGATCTCTGTGAGTTCCAAGCCAGTCAAAATGATATACTGCAACCTTGCCCAACCTTGCCCCTAAAAAGAGGAAAAGGGAAAGGGGAGGGGGAAAAAAGGGGGAGGAAAAAAAAGGGGGACGGGAAAAGGGAAGAGGGCAAGGGAGAAGTAGAGAGAGAGAAAGAGAGAGATTTTATTAAGTTCTTACGCCAGTGTCATGTTGTTGCTAGGATCGAGGCCGACTTCTATAACAGTGGTCCCTTCAATGTCCACTTCTTTGCAGGGGGTGGTATTTCGTCCAGTTACCCTACAGGCTTGGTAAAATCCGTGTGGTTTCACTCGACCAGAATCATTGCCCACAAACACCTGCAACACTACCGGTTCATTATGACCTTCCAGCTGGAACCAGAAAATATGTAGCATAAGCACTAGGTAGCATTTTAAATAAGCTCATTATAAACTCAACATTCAAAATCAAATCCTGGCCAGGCAGTGGTGGCGCACGCCTTTAATCCCAGCACTTGGGAGGCAGAGGCAGGCGGATCTCTGAGTTCCAGGCAGCCTGGTCTACAGAGTGAGTTCCAGGACAGCCACAACTACACAGAGAAACCCTGTCTCAAAAACTAAAATCAAATCCTATATTTAAAACTGAACTTCATCTAGTTTTAAACATAAAAGAAAACATGTAAACTCTTCTTTTCCTTCCTTTTTGTTTTTGGTGTGTTGAAGACTAAACCCAGATGCTCACAAATGCTAGTCAGTACTCTACCCACAATCCAGCTCAAACATTTTCTTATAAAGAAAAATTGCAGTCAGGCCTGGTGGCACAGTACAGATAGGTGGATCTCTGTGAATTCCATGATAATCAGAACTATAGAGAGTCCTGTCTCAAAAAAATAAAGTATGCAGGGGGAGCTGGAGAGGTGGCTCAACCATCAAAGGCCAGGCTCACAACCAAAATAAAGAAAAATACTGTACTAGTTCTACAATAACTACATTTTAAATTACTTTAAATGTCTAAGCTAAACTACCACAAAATCTATTTATATAAGCAGATGGGAATAGATACACAATTGCAGTATACAGATTAGATTACTTGGGATATGCTGCCACCACTGAGCTATATTAACAGAAACGTCTTCATCATCAAATGAGAATATATACGATAAATTATTACTACGGAAGCAGTTTAAGAAGAAAAGCATTTGAAACGACAGAAAAATGAAGTTCACTTCTAAAGACTGTTTCATGAAATCCTGGGCCAGAACATCTATGGTCAGACACATGGTCACTGTAAGTCTCTAGCAAAACTCTCATAAAAAAATGCTAGTTCATATATAGAATATCATGTTTTATAGTAAAAGACACTGAAGCTGTTGATTTTAAAATATGCAAGAAAAAATTACAAAAATGCCACATCTTTCTATCCCATTATATTTGCATCTCTTTGCAGTAGATGATCATCATCATAAAAATAATTAAAGAAATAAAGAAACATGTATCCATTCTGGCCTCCCTTTACAGATTGATTATGTAATATTTTAGCAGAGAACAGAAAACGTAAAAAAATTGGGTTTTTTGTTGTTTGTTTGTTTTTTGAGTGTCTATTGAGTGAGTGAGTAAATGAACTGCTCAGGGCAGTCATTCATTCCTATCATAGTGAGGCAATTAATCTAATACTAATGCATTTAACTGTGTAAGTACTTAAACCAAGCAGAACTTAAAGACAGATAATCAGATTAAGAAGACTGACAAAGCTACTAAACTATCCAGCTAGACACACACAAAGCAAAACTTGAATTTCTCTCTTGCCTGTTATGTGTCCTGGACTTGAGGGACTGGGTGCAGATGGATCAGAGCAGTAACACTGATGTAAATAAATGATCATAGACAAGTTTCCCAATCCTGAGCTTCAATCATTTCATTCAAGTGTGAGATGAATGACAGTCCATATTTTCAATGATAACTTTCTTTATAATAAATACACCAAGTAGTAAAATTTTACTACAAGTCAAAGTTCTTAAAAGGTAATTCTGATATCTTTGAAACTCTTATTTTCCAAGTTCTTACATTTTGAGACTGGTACTCCTGGCTGGCTTGGAACTCCCTATGGAGACCATGCTGACCTCCAATTCATGGAGCTCTGCCTTTCTCTGCCTCATATATAATTTTTTTATGTGCATTGATGTCTTGTCTGTGTGTATGTCTGTGTGAAGATGTTGGGGCCTCTGGAACTGGAGTTACAGACATCTGTGAGCTGCCATGTGGGTGCTGGGAATTGAACCCTGGTCCTCTAGAAAAACAGTCAGTGCTCTTAACCACTGAGCCATCTCTCCAGTCCCTGTCTCTGCCTCTTAAATGTTAGAAATTAAAAGCATGTGCTACTAGGGGCTGAAGAAATGACTCAGAGGTTAAGTGTTATAGAATAATAAGATGTATTACATTTGTTTATGCTGTGGAATATTTGTTTAATGATGCAAAGATATATTGCATTTTTTATGTTGCATTTGTTTAACACTGTGAAGCTGTATGCCTGTTTAAAACACCTGATTTGTTTAATAGCTGAATGGCCAATCACTAGGCAGGAGAGGAATAGGCAGGGCTGCCAGGCAGAGAGAATGAATAAAATAGAGGAGGGAAGAATACGAAAAGAAGAAGAAGAGAATCCCAGAGGCCAATCACCCACTAACACAGTCAGTAACAGAGTAAGAAGAGAGAGGTATGTAGAATTGAGAAAGGTAAAAGCCCAGAGGCAAAAGGTAGATGGGATAATTTAAGAAAAGCTGGCTAGAAACAAGCTAAGCTAAGATCAGGCATTCACAAGTAAGAATAAGTCTCCGTGTACTTATTTGGGAGCTGGGTGCGAGCCCCCAGAGGGGAAAGAGTTAAAAAACTGTTCTGCTACTCTTCCAGAGGTCCTGAGTTCAATTTCCAGCACCCACATGGTCGCTCACAGCCATCTATAACAGGATCTGATGCCCTCTTCTGCATGCATTTGTATATATGGACAGAACACTCATACACAAAAATAAATGAATGGATGAATGAATGAATGAATGAGTAAAAGAATGAAAGAATGAATGTATATGCTACAAGTCTGGCTAAGTTCTTAGTAATTTCTGCTATGTTTCTTTGCATTCACTTTAAAATTTCTTCTTCAATATTTTCAGATGAATCTACTATCACTACCAAACAAACAAAGAAAATAAAGATGAACTGCAGATATTTTTTTCTTTTCAGAACAAATTCTCATCTTTCTAACTAAAATTTAACCAGGCATGTTGGCTCATACCTATAATTCAAGCACTCAGGAGACTGTGGCAAAGGGCTTGCCATGAATTCAAGGCTGGCCTGGACTATATTTATTGAGTTCCTGAGTTATAGTAAAACATTAAAAAACCAAAACCAACCAGCTAAACAAACAACAATTCAAATATTATTTAAATACTACTTGGCTTATGACCCAATTAGACATTTGTTTTCTATTATACTGAGCTAACTAATAATTCTATCTTTCTATTCCAGGAAAATTTTTCTGATGTTAAAATAATAAAACTCAAGGAAATTCATCACATACATATGTATTATTCTTACATTTATTCATTTATTTGATGATTGTGTGTGGGGAGCACGTATGTGGGCATGTTTGTGCTGTGACATGGGTGTGGGGAGGTCAGGACAACTAAGTAGAGCCAGTTCTCTTCAGGTTCTGGGAATAAACTTTTACCCACAAAGTATCTTAGTATTCAGACATTACAAAATAAAATGAGTACCTTCACCGTTGGAAAGCCTTGCTGTGTTCTATCTTTTACTGAGCCTCGACTGCCCTCTGTCAGGTACCGAGCTCGGTGCTGGGTTTCAGGCTGTACAACTATCTTCAGCTCCTTCCCCTCACTTTTAACAGGATACTGTCCACACAACATAGGGCTCTTCTTTACTCCAGCTCCCTTTTGGTTGTCCAATGTTCTGAGAAACCAAAGCACAACGTGGGAAGAAAATATCAGAAACCGTTTTCCGTAAAAGCTACTTAAAGGAAGAAACAGACGGGCGATAACATAGAAAATAACTGTTTAGATTATTGATAAAATAGAATACACTCTAAAGGAAGGAACAAATATAACCAAAGTATCTTTAAAATATTTTTGAGCCAAGTATAACTAAATGCCATGAAAAAGAAAGCTGGAAAGGGAAAAGAAAAAAACCATTGGGTGGTAGAAGGAAAACAATGCAATAATTTGTTTTCACACTACAATTCAGTTAAAATGAAATGTAAAAATCACACGAGTCTTATATAAAACTAAAGATTATGATTACTTTTTAAATCAGATTTGCAAAGCAAAAGAAAAAAAGGGAATGGTAAGAACTACTAAACCAACATACAGAAGGCCTAAAAGATTGACAATGGAGGTATATGTCAATCATTAATCAGAAATATCCTTTTGAATCTCTTTCTCAGTAAATCAAAATGAGAAATTTATAATAAAAAAAATCAGTGATTCAATTTTTATTGGGAATGAGGTTTACTTTAATAAGTGTGATTTTTTCAGATTATTTTTATCTGTGACTGGTTAAATGGTAAATGTTCAATAAAAAATCTTATCTGAGCTCTATCTATAGCAAACGTAATTTTACTTTTTTTTTTTAATTGTGGAAGCTTTGTTTTGTAGGTTTTTGAGACAGGATCTCATATATCTCAGGCTGTCTTCAAGCAGCTCAATAACTGAAGATCTGCTGCCCCACCTACCTCAGGCACATGCCTGGTTCTAAGACTGTTTTAAGCATATTTTTGTTTATAATATAATACCCAAATTTGTGATTAGGGCTTCTAATGAAGTAGCTAATGCAATGCAAATACCTGATAGAAATAAGCAGAATAAAATCATACACACACACAACACCTCCCACCCCCTCCAAGAAACATGAAGTAGATTTAAAATCATCCATGTATGTTCTTGAAAAGTCAGGGCCTGTTGTTCTTTTCACTCACAATAAAGTAACTGGGTTCCCAGAAGAATAATATGATTTTAAAAACAAAGAACAGCTTTAAACCTGGCCCCATACTTTACCAATCCAGGTAAACCAAGCTATTGTTCAACCATAAGAACAAAGGAAAAGGCAGTCATTCAATAAACAAACTACCTATGAAAGGGGCAGAAGTGTGGGGGAAAGGATAGCACTGATAAAGAATTCAGTAGCAAGGGAAAGTTCACATAGGATGTTTGCTGATGAAGGCAAACAGGAAGACGAAATGGACAAGGAAAGCAAAGAGAAAAAGGGGCTTCTATAATAAGGAGATGGGCAAGACCAGACCTTAACTGGACAAGAAATGCCATTCACAAAAATCTGACACAACTAAGTCAAAGATTACCTGTATGTGTAAGTCATTTTAAAGGCCCTAGAGGAATGAATCTATGAATAAAAGTACCAGGCTGAAGCCAGAACAATGGGGGCAAGAAATCTGTTTGTTTGTTTGTTTTAGAGTTCTGAGTGAATTCAAATGTTTGAAGAGTGTACAATGTCTTAAACACAAGATTCTATAATAATCTGTTTGTATTAATCTTATTACCAAAGTGGGGGAAAGGTATTGTGAAACTATGAAAAAATATGTCCCACATATTTTATGTATATATAAATATAGATATATATACACACAAGAACTAAAAGAAATTATAGCATAATAATAGCAGTTTACATGAATGACTGAATTACTTTCTTGTATTTTCAAATATTTATAGTTCATATGTACTAGTCATAATAAAAAATGATAAATTTTAGACTGAAATACTAAGAAAATTTGAATGATAACTAATTTTGTCAGCTGTGCTTTTTATATTTATACCACTCAAGCTAGTATTCTGAAAGTAAATAACAATGATTCCTATAAAATAAGTATTCATATTTGTTGAATGAATTAATATGTGCTAAAAAAATAAATATTTAAATACACACAAAAAAAATCACAAGGAAGTAATAAAAAATTCTAAAATACTGAAAATGCTTCTGCTTTCCTTCCTTCCTTCCTTTTTTGAGAGAGAGCTCTTACTACACAGCCCAAACTGGTCTTGAACTCACTACAGGTCAGGCTGGTCTCCCTCTCAAAACCCCACTACCTTAGCCTCCCTTTTGCTTGGGTTTTCACAAATTTACCACTTACAATGCCTGGCCCTGAAATTATATTCTAAAATTTTCTTTATTCTCTAGGTTTAAATGAAAAAAATGGAAAACATGTATATTTGTATCTACAGACACGTAAAACAATAAAAAGATCAACTAATTCTTAGAAGAGTAGCAATTCAATTTGTATATTGTTAAGGTAAAACAGAAAAAGGAAGCAAGCAGCAATTCATACATGGGGGATTAGTTGATTGATTTTTGCAGGGCTAGACATCAAAGGCAGGTGACATCTAAATGACAATTACCACAGACAATGTCATGTGTCATGTTCTACGTAAAAGTCTTAGAATGACATTCAGGTTCTTCTGTGCTACATATTCCTACAGGTTGCCTAAGTTATAAAAATAATTTTCACTACAAAAAGAACTTAAATGACTTTCAGATGCACATGATATATCTAGACTTCTAGAACTTTAGATGAAACTGTGCTGTTGATTCTCAGGACAGTAGTTGAAGAATTTAAGACTGATACAGTCAGCAATATTTACAAATAAGCAACTTTTTGAAAACAGATGTTTCCTTAATAAGCTCTAATTTTTTAGTTGTAAAAGTAATTGTCTTTCTGTCCATCAGTTATCAAGACTTCCGGCATCATGAAGATAAATAAACTTCCATATGCAGCACACTTGAAAGTTCATTTAATAAATATTTAGCATTATATAAACTGCAAACTGTTGTCACCTCATATTGAAGACTATATTACTTATCTCTCAAAGCATTTCAAAGTTTCATGTTTCTAACATCTTTCTCATCATTGGAAAAATAGGCGATTAGCTCCAACTACAGATTAAGAATGGTTGTCCATGTATTTTACATTTGGTTTCATCCTTTCCTCAATATATTTCTTATAAATTCAAATTTTAAACTTCTTCATCATTTCCACATACTATTGTCAAATAATTTTCCATTACCTAAGAAGATGGGCATTTCTTCTGCTGCTTGATGGAGTTTCTGCTTCATGAATTATTTCATAAAAGGTTTGTCTTGACCAATGTCACTATACTTTCCCTGGTAACCTCAAATCATTTCTAAGATATATCTATCATACAAAAGCAGAAGCAGAAAAAAGCAGGTCAGGAAATCTCTTCAACCAGCAACAGTAAATCACTGTTTGATGCTGGCCATCCCCAAGTCCAAACTTTACTGTTCTTAACTGGTAATTTTAATAATTATTTCAGTACAAATAGGAAAATACCTTTCTCTGAAAATTTATAAAGACCTTTTCCACTGCAGCCCAAATAAGCACACATGCATTTCCTGGCATCCACACAACTTTCAGATCTGTACCGTCAGTCACACTTCCTGTTTCAGACTTCATGTTTCAGAGCCTTAACCTACATTTTATAGTTGAGTAAATACTCCTTTTTCAAGTTCTGGACTATTAAAATGTGGCATACTAGCAATGGCCATACATCTTGTTTGCTTTTGGAAATTGCCTAATCTAGACTTTTTGAAACTGTAAATCATTTAAATTATTTAAGTATAGCATTCTAAAGAAGTTTTAAATAAAGGTATAAAGGAAAAAAGTATGTTAATTTTTTTCAAATTAATTTTCAGGTTAGACTATAAGGAAATGAGTTTTATTATGGGTTTTCAAACATGTTGAGTATAGACTTAACTGATTCTTGCTTAAATGACTTACGAATTTATAATGCACACAGGGAATTATTTGCGGATATGTTTAATATTTACTACAACAAATATAATACTGAGTTGGATTTTTAATGTAACAGATCAAAGATGTCATCACAGAGTACGCCAATCTAACATTTCAGGCTTTTTTATTTTTTTGCGGCAAGCATGGATCCAAGTGATCCTGGGTCACCTAAGGAATCATAGTCTGCCTCCTTAAAAAACTAGTGAGTTAAATTTTACTGAATATACTGTAGAAAATTTAAGTCTAGCAACTAAATATTACAATTAAAACACTAAAGGAATCCTAAAGTAAATCATGCTAATTTGTATTATACCATGGAATATTCTGTAATATAACCATTTAAATATATTTGGTGAGCAGTGCACCAAAGGCACAGATGGAAGAGAAAGCTCAAATATGTACCCATGATCCTGTTTTATCATCCTTCAAGAAAGAAACAGAATCCAGAGGGCAGAGGGACAATTTTTTTAAAAAGTCCTGAACTAGAAAAATGTATCAAAGGAAAAAAAAGATTCAAACAGAGGCACCTACATGAGAATTGAGTCATCTTTGTTTTTTTCTTGTTTTCATCAAGTAAAGATGAAAAACAAAAATAAAACATAAAATTCTTTGAAAAATATAATGGAATGAACCATATGAAATAAACTGCTAAAAGAACAAATTAACTTCTGGAGAACATTTAAGTGTTTTAGCTAGCATCATCACACTGCTGCTTATTTCTTTTAAAATAAGCCCATTTGAAGTTTAAGTTATTTCAAAACAGATTATCTTTTCTACTACCCCTAAACATAACCCAGAACAAAATTCCTTTGCTATAATCTACAGCTATTTTCAAATTATTTTTTTCTAGTAAAATTTATTTTAAGTTGAAAATTTCATGTACTTCAAGGATAAAATTAGCATTTTTTTGCTTTATAGGCAAATTTGAACTGAGAATTAAGAAAATTTGGGAATGATTTACTGTTGTTTTGCATAATGTTGATAGAACTTTAAAAAATGTGGATACCAACCCATTTCCAGCTTTTGAGTTGCCTTTGTTGTCCGTGGTAAGCTGAGAAAGCACATAGTGAGGTGCTTTGGCACTGTCGGCATCAAATATATCCATATTAGATTCTTCACAATCTCGTCGTTTGACCCCCGGCCTCTGCTTTGGATTTCGTTTTCGTGATTTACGAGGTACCTCAGTGTTATCATTGTAGGAACTGGTGCTCATGTTACTGAAGTTGGAGGGGGAATCCTCCATCCACATACTGCAGCTCTGCTCAGATTCCAATCCACACCCCTCATCCTGGCAGGACATCCGACTGTTATCCAGCAAGTCCTCAGGTGGTGGTGAGATGTACAACACTGTGTGCCTCTTCGGGGTTGATGGATGCTGCTGAACTGTGTTACCGGTTAACTGCTTTTCACTTACCCCTCTGTTACTTACCCCCACGGCTGAGGAGCAGCTCTCCACTTGCATAGCCTTGCTGTCGGTGACTGAGGTAGAATAAATGGTAGGGCTGGAAGAGGTGGTAAAGGAGCTGCAAGCACCGCCCATGGAGGAAGAGGAGGGAGCTGAAGAAGCATCTGCAGTGTACAATCCAAGAGTAAATACACTATACATGTTTTCACCTATGCTGGCTAGCAGTCCCAATGAAAATGTGATTTGTGAAGTGATTGTTTTCCCCAAACGAATAATTGGAATTTGGTTAAGTTTTAGAATATAAATGCTTTAAGCAATACAAAGCCTAAGAAATACAATTTTTTAGAAAATGCCCAAATAGCATTTTTACTTTTGTTATAATTGTTAAATTTTTAAAAATCTAATTTAGTGTTTTAAGCTGTAAAGCCAGAATAAAGCTTTTATTGCCTCAGCTGAATGTTCTGTTGAATTTTAATCATTAAATACAGAAAACCCCAATGTGAAATATATATGTTTGTGGTCCACATTCAATGCCAATTAAGTAATTCATTATAGAATTTGAAAAGTGGGACTGTGCTTAGCCACAAAATATTAAAATAAGTTTCTAACCTATGAAGCAGAGAACTACAGGTCATTTTTAATGCAGACACTCCCTGCTTCAGAGGCAAATCCTGGAATAAAAATATGAGAAAATAAATGAGAAAAGAGCTGCTGATTATTCCAGATACCAATTATAAAATGAAAAATAAATAGAGGAAAAAAAAGATAATCAACTGAACTGGAGGCAAAATGGAACTGGTACCATTACTATAGCTGTAAAATCCATGAGAGGTGAGGAAGACTTAATGGGAACATGCTTGGTTGTAGAAGATAAACAGGTTGGCCACTGAGAATCTCAAAGATAAAAATAGCACATCAAAACCAAGAGTAACAAAAAAAAAATCCATCCTTTAAGAATGAATAAAAAGCAGCAAAGGGTGGCTACTAGATGGACTTTTCCTAAAGTCTCATGTGCTCAAAAATTAGCTCCTTACCTATTAGCTCTCTTTTAAAAAGGCCTGCTAATTATATATGGTAGTGAATAGTACATCTTACTGTCTAAAGTTTAACAAAAAAATTAAGCATGAAAATTTCTAGAACACCAGAATTCCTATAAAAATATTTTCAATTATGTATCAAGTATGCATAGCAAAAAAAAGTAGATTTACATAAATATCTGCAGAACAGACTGTGTGGCAGCTAGCAGTAGTGCTGGCAACAATGCTGCTCTAACCCTTAACAGCATAAACTCAGACACATTAACACTGCTTAGGCTGGACGTTACCTGTAATTTCAAAAATACTATTTTATTGTGTACAAGATATAATTGAACGCATAAAGAAAAATTGGTAATGTGCTTAAATTTGTGTCCACAGCCATTTATGCCAGTTTTAAAACTGTACGATAAAAATTTAAATGTGATGTACTATTATTTAAATTGACGTACCATTATTGAAATCACAATATTCATTGTCAATTATAGTGCTAAAATGTAAGAAATTCAATGTTTAGATAATAAAAAGCTGTGCTAGTAAATTAACTGAACCCAACTGAAAGTACGTATCAAAACATGTAAATACATGAAAGAATGACGACCATCCCCAAATTTTCCATTGTTGTCAAGGTTGAAGAGCACAGTCATGTTAGCCATCCGTAATGTGATCTATGTAATGCCACACTCAAAATTTTTCTCCCAACTACCATAAGTCAAAGAACCTGAAGGAGTAGATGACACCAGTTCCACTTTTTAGTTTGTATCCTTGTCAAATGCAGCAGCTGAAACTAGAAAATTCAGTCACTTTTAAACTGCATTCCAATTTAAAGAAAAATTTATTAATTTTATATCATGCATTAATGCAAGTTTTCTTAGTAAATAAATATTCCTAAAGATCTGTAAAAACTACAAAATCTAGATGCTAATGTCAATGACAATTGAGAAGCTGATTTGTAGCCACTTTGGGTTTAAAGTTTTTTCCTTTTTTTTTTTCCTTTGGAAAATGCTATGATACTCATTTTGGACAAAACAAGAAAGATATATCTAATGTTCCTCCATCTGTTCCAACTATTAGCTATAAATGAACCTAAATTTTATGATAGTTGTGTCTATATTCTTGATTTTCAGAGAAACACTAGAAGACAGTATGCACTATTTGCAATGGATGACACAAAGCAGCATGAATGGTGTGAACTTGTATTTCTAAAGCATTTCTCCCCTCCTCCTTTCTGAGTTTAACTTTCAAGCACACAAGAATGCAAAATACAAGCATCCCTGCCAAGGACAAAGGGAAAGTGTCTATGTGCAAAGCCACAATGAAGTCAATAGCAAATTATATATTTGTTTTGATCCAGGGTTCCTGGCTTACAGCTCCTAGCAACTTCCTACATTAAATAGAGCAATAAGCATCTGTGGTTAAAGTTTTGGCTTTCCACTTCAAAATGATAAAGACAAAAGATGGGTTTTGTTTGCTTGGTGCTTTTCTCAACAGCGTCTCTCTTGCTTTTTAGTTTTAATTTATAACAAACACCTTTCAACCGCCTGAGACTGTATTCATAATGTGATCTGGGGAAAGTTGCTAAATGACATAAGATGGTAGGAGATTCTGGTTGCCACAAGAATAAACTATGTCCTCAAAGGGTTAGTGCTCACCCATCCTCCAACTTCCAGGTAGCAGAAGGCCTGGGGGTTAGAGTAATAAACAACAGTCAAAGATTTAGTCAATCCTATTTATATAATGGAAGTCTCTTAATTCAGATATCCAGGAAAGTGAACAAGAACACACCATGTCCCAAGAAAGAGGCACGGCCAAACTCCCACTTGAGATTGAGGCTTCCAGACCTTGTCCTATGCATCACCTCATTGTCTATTCATTTCTCTGCTTTAAAATACTTTTTATAGCCAGGCAGTGGTGGTGCATGCCTTTAATCCTAGCACTTGGGAGGCAGCGGCACATGAATGTCTGTGAATTCCAAGCCAGCCTGGTCTACAAGAGCTAGTTCTAGGAGAGTCAGGGTTGTTACAAAGAGAAACCCTGTCTCGAAAAACCAAAACTATTTATAATGAATTAGTAAATGTTTCCTGAGTTTGGAGTTGCTGTACTAGTAAATTAATTAAACTCAAAGAGGGGATCACGGGAAGTTCAATTATAAGCAATTAGATCAATACTGAATTCTATTAAGTTAAATTGGCATACAAGCTGGGTTGAAGATTAAAAAGGATTTAGTATTTGAAATGTAAAATGCTTAGATTGTATAAGCATTACAGCAGCAGTGTCTGAGAGCTTATAGAGAACTATCTGCCCCCTTCCTCCAGAAAGCACAACAGCATTTCCTAAAAATATATGTAAGACAATTACTTATTTACATATTAGCATTAAATTACCATGAAAAAATCCATAGCATTATTTCATTAAAATGTAAAGATAAAACAATAACAAGGACATTTTAGATTTCTAAACACTAGCCTGTCAATTTCAAGCATTCCCAGAAAAGTAATACAGAATATTTCTGGGAATACTATAAACAGGTAATCATTCAAAAAATTAGTTGGAGCTGGGCCGTGGTGGTGCACGTCTTTAATCACAGCACAGAGGGCAGAGGCAGGCAGATTTCTCTGAGTTCAAGGCCAGCCTGGTCTACAAGAACCAGCTCCAGAACTGGCACCAAAGCTACACAGTAAAACCCTATCTCTAAAAACCAAAACCAAAACAAAACAAAACAAACAAAAAAAATTAATTTGTATTCTACAGAACTGAAGTGACAATAAAAAGCCTTGCTTGTTTATATGTACATATTTTTTCCAATTCGTTTTTTCATTGGTGGGAGGTGATTTGTCTGAAGCAGTCTTACTATGTATCTCTGGCTGGCCTGGAACTTAGAGACCTGCCTGCTGCTGCCTCTTCAGTGCTGTGATTAAGCGAATGTGCTCCGCTTTTTGGTTTTTGGGTTTTTTTGTTTGTTTGTTTGTTTTGAGTTAGGGTCTTGCTATGTAGCCCAGGTTGGCCTTGTATTCACAGCCCTCTTCTTGCTGCATCCTCCTGAGTGCTGAGGTTGCACCTGTGCACTACCACCCTGGCCTTGGATACTCATTTTTATTTATAAGTTCCTGTGAAGAAAATATGGTGATTACTTCCCTGATCTGTTTTCAGTACAAACCCTTTTGTATGGTTGGCTGGCTGGCTGGCTGGCTGGCTGGTTGGTTGGCTTTTCAAGACAGGATTTCTCTGTATAACAGTCTTGGCTGTCCTGAAACTCACTTGGTAGACTGGAATGGCCTAGAACTCAGAGATCCACCTTCCTCTGCCTCCCAAGTGCTGGGATTAAAAGCACGTGCCTCCACTACCCAGAAGCAAAGACCCTATTTTTTATCGGTTAGGACTGTTCAGTCTTTGTGAAATTGCTACATATTAAAAAATAGAGACCCCCAAATAAAAATGTTTTAATAAATGCTTTTATTTCTCTTTTAAGAGATTTTTATTGTATGTGTTAATTATTTTTATTGTATGTGTATAGGTGTTTTGCCGGTATTAATGTCATTGTACTGTGTGCTTGCAGTGACCACAAAGGTCAAAAGAAGAGGGCACTGGGTTGCATGAGACTACAGTTACAGACTACTGTGAGTCACCATGTGAGTACTGGGACCCAAACCCTGATCCCCAGAAAAGCACTTTTACTGCCGTACAAAGCAAAATAGGTATAATGTATTTCCATGATTAATTATACAATTTTATTTGTTCCTTGAGTCTCTTACCTATCTTTTATAAACATGGAAATTTTCCTGAACTCATTGAATCATCTAAGCAGCATATGAATATATTTTCATTTTCTTCTGCGAAATAACTATTTTTGAACTTAGCCTAATCTATGTAAGATCCACAATACTTCCTGTGACCACAGAGAATATTACAAACCAAAAGGAAAACTGACCCTATCAGTCTACAATTTACTGGTGAAAATTTATAACCTCAAGAGAATATATTAATTTTAAAGATTAAAAAGGAAGTGAATCTTGGCATAGTGGCATATGTTTTTAATTCCAGAAGTTGGGAAGCAGAGGCAGGTAAATCTCTGTGAGGAAAACATCAACATCACGTCTCTTGTGTCCTATTCTCTGCAAATTAAATGTCAC